AATCATCTATAATAGATGAAAAGGCCAATGATGATGAATACTAATGTGATTAATGTTTTGCAAAATTTTCTCTGAATTTCTAAATATAACGTAATATATTTAGCCTCGTATTATAATTGAACAAAACTAGAATAAAATAAAATAACACATGCATTTTCTAACAAAATTATAATCAAATTAGACGAAGAAAAATTTCATACATGCACACGTCCGCCTTTTACAGCCAGAGGCGAAATTAACCTAACTAAATCCATTATTTTCAACTTTGTTTAACAAACTCTTTTGGTTTTACCTCGTCCGTTGCATTAAGAAAATCTTATATCCATGTAATGCAGTTCTCGCTTACTTAGTGAGGTAATATCATTAAACAATATGCGAAAAAATTATGTAAAAGGATAATTTCATTTTGAAACCGTTTTTTAATGTAAAAACGTGTTTTGTAAAACAAGGGCAAACTTTTAAAGCCAACAAGAAAGACGTTAATGGCTCGTTTGAAAACTTGTAGTACTATTAAATTGTACTGTCGTTATATGATATAGATAATATTTGATATCTAAATCAGGCATATATACGGTTATCTTTATAGAAACTAATATAAACAGTGCAGAAAAATATACAACTCCAAGATCACATTACCTTAGTAACGAATCGGATACGTAGAGCTTGAATTTTAATGAGGAAAGTTAAATTCAAAAGTATAATCAGAATTACAGCTAAATTAAACTGTAAACATGTTTAACGAGTTTATCTTAAACTTGGGATATCAGGTTAAGGGTTCTCGGCGTTGATTGCAGGATTTCGTTACGTAATAAGACTTTTATTTGCTATATTACGTCGTTTATAGGCTTCTTTCCACGCAACATTTAGGGATTAAGGTATTATGTTTGTGGGGACTAAAATTCTTACAAACCGATGAGCTCCAAATGCGCTTCATGTTATACCAAAATTTCTACGTTAATCCTTTGCTGCGTAAAATGTATTTATAAACATGTATTTATTATTTCAGATATATAAATTAAAAATTAATAATCTCGAAGATATGGTTTAAAATATTCGATTTAATTAAACATTTCACATACATGTATTTATTTGAAATGTTTCACAGAAGCGTATAAATATTTAAAAAAAGTTTTTGAAATATAATGGAACAAATCAACTTAATATAATATATCTAAATAATACACTTCAAGAAGGTTTGTTTAAACTTTAAATATTCACAACTGTTTTAATATTATATCGCCTTATAGAAATAAACACTTAATAAAAGTCCTCATTTCATCCATGAAAGATAACTATAACCAGTTTTATAAGATACAAACTAATTAGACAAATGGTTTTATAAACTCAGAATATTAATAAAAATGTCGACACAAAGCTAACAGTTTCTTTTGAAACAACAGCTCTCTAAACTACAACGCTTCGTTAGAAGTCAAACATTTTGTTGGTTTGTTTGTTGGTACCAAACACGATGTCTTTCGCTGTTTCACTAGTATACAAACTTTGGACTTTGGTATTTGTTCATCATTTTACATTCTATTTAAAGTTATATTGTTCGTTTTGTGATTTCAAATACAAGTATGGGAGTAATACAACATTTACTTAATACTCTGACATTTCATTTGTTTGTACTACTGTGTGTTAAGTCCAAGTTGATATCGTCATACATACGACTGGTAACAGTATTATTTAATTAAATAACCATCGTAGATTTCAACTACTGCACTACAACAATTGTTTTACAACTATTGCATGAGAAACCGGGAACACTTTCTTTGAACCTAATTCTAAAATTCCATGGCAACAAAAATAGGGAAATCGATTGTAATAACGATGTCTTTTTAAAATGACTAGGATTTAACAATTATGTTTCTGATTTAACCTAACTACTTAGTAATATGTTTACAGTACAAATAATTTTAACTATAATTAAAAAAGTTAACAAGAAATGAAAATATTCAACCCATTTATTTAGAGCCGTAATAACAATAGTCAATTTGGTTTAACGTAGAAGTAAAATGATTTGTAAGGATTTAAACATATTTGTAATTTCATATTTTTTTTAATATACGCATTATGGAGTCAAGTCAATGTCCGTAGAATATCATAGAAAATATATTATTTTATATGTTTTAACAATATCAAAACAGTATTATTTAAATGCGACGCAAGTATTTTTATTAAAATATTACAATACCTGATATATGTAGGACCCTTTTTTTGCTGGGTCGCGGTTATTTTACTTACGCCAGTCTTATAGGTTCCGTAGTAAATCATTTGAGGACTATTTGTTTTCGTTATTTACTTTCCTTTTGATAGATTTATGAACAATTCATCTCCAAAACTCCAAATTCATCTAGAAATTTATAAGATCTAGAATTGAAAATTCTTTTAAACTATTCAGTTTTAATATATTTATTATAAACCATGTAAGAATCATATGTCTGTCCCTAAACTCCAATAGCTTCGAACATTTTTAGGTCATTCTTTGTTTTAGTCCTACTATTCCGGTTTGAGAGCTAAGCTGTTGACAACAACTGATATTTTAAATAAGGTATTGATGAATCAATTAATAAAATGTTCATTACAAATTAAGATAAAATTTCGCTGCAAGTACCTTCGTAGTAAAGATATAAATCTATCCTAATCAATGGTTTTATGTTAACGAAAACAAGAACTCTTTAACTTCTAAAGCTTTTGAAATCAAGTTCAATAAGGAAACTTTTTAGATATAATGTCGTGTATTACAGAGTGTAGATTATTTTATATAAAATTGCTTTATTTTTTGATAAGGCGTTAAGTATTTTTACATTGGTTGCATTTAAGATCATCATTCAAGATCATAAGTTATAAAATTATGTACTTCGTTTTACATGTAATAAAATAAAAGTTAAAATTGTATAAATAAGCTAGAGCAAACAAATTAGATTGAATAATATTTCAAAAAAGTTCTCTCCGGCGGGGAATCGAACCCCGGTCTCCCGCGTGACAGGCGGGGATACTGACCACTATACTACCGAAGACTTGTAAGCAGGTTCGAAATAAATAAATATTGAATATTAAATTTAGAATATGTTCAATGACAACTAACTGTTTGCTTAATAGATTACGAGATAAATATTAAATATGCATGAATTTATGGAACTTTCTTTACACACATGTATATCGAAGAGTGGGACTTTTCAAAATAATCCTTTATATAAAATCTTATTGAAATTAGGTGATATAAACAAAACTATGACCAGTATTAAAAATATCTTTTGGATTTGTCAAACTTATGGCAATAATGTCTTTATTATTATATTGAGGTAATCTTTTTTTATATTTCTCCTCTTGGATTATAATTTACATGAATTTATTTTCGATATCTTGCATTTCATAACGGCGTATACAGAAAAATAAAATGAAAATAAAGATGTTATTTCAGTTATTCGCTATCAACAACCAATGATTTCTCAATTTCCTGTAACTTCAAGATTTGTTACTGAGGTCTTGTCATATGGTCACCTAAAACCTTTTCTGTAAAATAATCAATACTTTGAGTCGAAGTCAGAAATGCGTTTTAATATACCTTAGATTATGAAACATAGTTCTATGAAAATTTCTACTCTCAGAATTGTGTACTAAATTACATTTCCATGAAGTATAATATTTAATTAAATTAAACAGGGTAGCCCCAAGATATCTTGGCAATTCTAACTTACAAATAATCACAATCGGTACCCATATTCGTGGTCCGTATTTTATGCAATATAATTGAAGTTAGTAATTGGACCTCTTGCGAAACAAATTTGCATCATAAAGTGACTCGATCTGGCTCTATGTTGAAATTGCTCGCGTTTCTATATACGTAGTTACAGAACTTTAACTCCTTGTCAATCTAAACTTCAAGTTACAATAGCTATGTATTTTTATTATTGATTCTGTTTAGAGTTATTGTTAGAGACTTTTAAATAGTTATATTTAATTTTTTTATGATTAATACGTTAATATTTTACCGTTTAATGATGGATAATTACCAAGAATAGGTACTAATTAGAAATAAGATTTAAAAAGTCAATTACATACATAAATACACAACAAATGGCTTTCTCAGCTCTTTAAGTGTAAGACTGTTTCTTTTATATAAATATAAGTATAAATAAGTCTGAAACATTCTTAAAAGTGACGTAGGTTATCTCCAAAAGTTATTTACTTAAGGTAACGCTTTATTGAGTTAATACTCCTTTACATTGAATATTCAATGATTTTTGCAATTGAATGGGCTCTATTCCCGGCTGCGGCGTACTTTTTTATTTAATCAATGTAATACTTGTTATTTTCAGCATTTAAGCGATATAGTTATTTATTGATTTATGCTACCATGGCAAATAAAATACAAGCCTCGATCGAGAATTTGTATATTTAAATTTGTCTCAATTTTTACTATAAAAAACGCAACAAATACAAATCTTTATTAGCTAGGGTTTGTTATTATTAAAATTCAACAATTGTTGGCTTACACAACTGTATGTCAGATTATCTTATTCTTGTTATTTGGACAGTAGAAATGCAAACTCGGAAAATAGATTGAATCACGTTCGTAACCCGGTTGCGTTTACTTTAAAACGTCTTGACAATACATTTAAATTTTTAAAGGGAACTGAAAACGGTTTGTAACTATGTATTTTGGTACGGTTCAACATAATTTGGATTTACTGCAAAATCTTATAGTAAACTATAGCTTGTATAAATACAAACAGTATCTTTCTCATTTCTGGGAAACATGGATTCTTATTATGACACACTTAAAATACAGATACTTATATTTTCTTTTATAAATTTCAAAGTAGGTAAATTTCTGAGCATAAATTTGAACAATTAAAACCTTAAAATGTTGTCACAGCTACTGTTACTTACTGAAAGCGACGTCTTTCATTTTAAATGTCAAATTTGTAATATACACGATTTTATTATTCTTTTACAATACATACATTAAATAATTTAAGATATAATTCATAAAAATGGCGATGGCGGAGAAGAAAAACGAGTACCCGCCAGGCGTGGAGGCGGATAGGCGGTTGCTGCAATTTGAAACTTGGGAGGATTATTTAGATTCACTTATAGAGATTGCTGATCTGCGTAATCTCAGAAGTGTTGATTCTGCTCGCACCATTGCTGCTCTTGGTTATAGGTAAATAATTGGGAATATTGAAATCTTCCGTGCATAAGTATCGCTTGTTTCTTAGTATTAAAAAAATAACAATTTCCTTGACTTTTTGGCCTGTTTTTGCTTAATAGATCGGCTCATATTAAGAAAAACTTTACATTAACTTATATAAAAATGATTAAGTTTTGTATATTTCTCTAATTATAAGGAAACTTTCAGCTTAGAATAAAAGACAGGTGTTATTATTATTTTTGTTCAAAACTTTTACTAGAGCCAACGGTGATACGCTAACGGAGAAGGAATTCTACGCTCGTCGAAAAGTCATACACAATATTGTATATCCCGTATCCAAACCTTATGTGTTAGTAAGTGAGGGTGCTAACATTGAAGATCCATTTAATAGAGAGCTGGCTGTAAGAGAACGCGCAAACAGAGTCGGAATATTACAGGTGACAATTTACGATTCAAGTTCATAAACTATCGTTAAAGAAACTAACGACTTCAATTTTGAAACGGATTGTAAAATGCAAATTTAACTTAAAGTTTATGGTACTCGAGAAAATCGAAAAGAAGGAATTGCATTAAAAGTTTGTACTGAGCTTCTGCGTCGGTTGTTCTAAAGAAGTTTGCGTATTGTTAAGAAATAGTATAAACATTGATGTTGTCAATCAATAACAGTTTGTTCATTTAACTACATTATTTGATTCTTATTTGGTGGTTTTGCTTTCTAATGAGACGAAAAATGATAAATATGTTTAAGGTATATTTATTGCTAAAAATCTTTAGAATTATATTAGAGAATTCCGCCAAAGAATTAAAGCAATTTTTATTTGGATTTTATTTTACATATATAGTAAATAATTTTAAATTTTAAGTCCATCTCAAACTTTTATTACGAAAGCGTGTTGTACACGACACAAATAATACACTTACATATAATGTGTGTGCAGACACATACAGATTGCATTTGTGGTCGGTTGTATTGCTACTAATTGGTGATGTATTGCTCTCTACTAATGGTTCGTTTGAAGTATGATTTTGCATTTCAGTCCGTGATTTTCATTCGTCACTTCACTAAAGGCGGTTTTGAAATATCCGGATACATTGATTACGCTCATCGGCTTATTTCGGAAGATTGGGCGCCATTTTTCAGGTCAAATAAAATGCTATGGCCAAGGGATAACGATTTAGGTTACTATCACTGGAGGCATGGAACAGTTCGGAGCAATATCAGCAGAAACTACAAGGTACATTTTTATTTTAATATGAATATGGGCTATTGAATAAAAATGTTAAAATTTAAATATCTGTTAGCCAACTTTTCTTTCGACATTTCTTAGTGCATTTTGCACTGTAATATCAATTTATTCTCTTTAAAATTACAATGGACTATCATCAGAAAATATATTCCTTATGAATAATGTTCCACTACCGTCGCGAACGATGGAAAGTCGAACACTTTTTATTTTATTTAATTTGACATAGTTCTAGTAAAATGAATCTTACCAATTTATAAATCTAACTTATTGATCATATTATTAAATTTATAGCCTGTAATGGATCCCGAACGGGGTCTGTTATTCCAAAATCGTCATGACCACAAAATTATCTGCCCAGACCCTCAGCAAGAACCGGGACAGAATACTAGTAAACAGAGAATCTATTCACCAAGATACACTCAGATAGAGATATATGACCACGTTGTAAGAAGAAAGAGTTGAAAATATTGTGATGTTTCAATAGAAATAAATTTAAAAGAGAACATTTTTGTTAAGCGATCTATTCATCTAGTTTTATATTTTCTTATTTTTAACGCGTATAAAAATAATGATTACTTCAGACTATATTTATTTCATCATGTTTATTACTTTGGTTTTATACAAAATAAATTTGTATTGAAAACTAGTATTTAACTTATTTTCTATTATACATTATTTATCCGTAATACTTTCGTTTCTTAATATAAATAATAAAATTAAATAAGAAAATGTCATTTTTGTGTATCGTTTTGGATGTTATTTATACAATACAAATCATTCAACTTAAAAATAAGTCTTAATATAAGGGATTAAGTCAGAGATTGCGACGAAGCGAGTCTTGATCGTTTGGCTGTCTCTCTTGAAGCTTTGTGTACAATGGAAGTGCGTAATGTTATACCGAAGATGTCTTCATGGTATCTGTTCTCATCCTAAAATAGATAATTATATATAAATAGTTAAAAAAAACTCATGACACGTCCCTGTTAAATATATTATGTACATATATACACGGGCGTAAAAAAATATTATTGTACACATTACTTTTTTACTCGAATCTTTGTTCCCAATATAACGGGATTCTGTTAATAACTTTTCAAATAAATAACATTTCGAAAGTACAGACAGGTATCAAAATATTAGTTTCTATAGTTTCTGTATGCCACACATTTAATAAAACTATACAAAAGGCCCAAAATTATATTATTATCAGGTAGGAATGTTACCATTAAATAGAGTATGAAGTCGTTAGCCTCTTCTTCAGTAAGATGAGCGTGGTGTTCCAAAACCTTCTTTAGTTTGCATTGCACCTCCTCCGCCATTTTACAATCACCGCAAACATAAAAATGACCACCTTCCTCAACTAGCATTCGTGTGATATATGCCCCTTCATCTTCTAGTAATGCTTGAACGTGTTTCTACAATAAATAATGATTGTCAAATTTAACAAAATCAGGCCGACATTATTTGCGTTTAATGTAAAGTGTAAAATGCCTACTGATTAGTTTCTATTCGAATAATAATAATTTTTAAAATATAGGTAAACATTTTTTTAATAAAAATAAATAAAAGTAGATTTACATGGTGGGTTGTGAATAATTTTTATTTCATAAAAAGCCATGTCGCTGTCGAATAAAGAAATATAATTTTATTTACCTTGCTCACGTTATCTTCCCTCGACAGAGCAAGCAATGATTTGGTTAGGATTCCATCAGCTACCGCTTGTTCTTTTTCCTCCCGATAAAGATCCATTCCCCTATATCTGCATCCGAATAGCAAGCAAATTGAGCCATGTTTCTTGTTATTAGTCTTATCGATTTGGCATCTCCTATGTTGCCAAAAGCCTCTGAATGGAGCAATGCCAGAACCAGGTCCAACTAATATGAGAGGCGCGGATATATCTTGTGGCATGTGAAAACTTGGTGCTCTGCAAAAATTGTAAGTCAACTCTTAACTCATTATATACAGGTCTTCTTAATGAAGAAAAATAAATTTATACCAACTTTCAAACATATAACTTATGGAAGTTGATTTTATATTAAAAATAGATTATTATTTGAAATTTTAAAGTATATTATTAAAAATTGTTCTCACCGTCGTATGAAAGCGTAGACAATATCGTCTGGCTTTAAGCCCTGTAAATACGTCGAACAGACGCCGTAGTGTGTTGGTCCAAGTCCATCTATAAGTATGGAAATTACATGCATCATTATAACAGCTTTTAAGACCTTGTGATTATAAAACAAACATACCCGGGTAAAATTATGTAACTTGTAAATATATTTACATGAAAGAACACAAATTAGTATTAAATATGACATATTGTAAACTATTTACTTACTCTGTGTTTTAAACATAACGACAGCAACTGTGACTTGAATTCTCTTTGGGTTAACCAGTGGTGAAGAAGAAATAGAATAAAATCGAGGTTGTAGAGGTGGGAGTAAGGCTGCTAGAAGAGATGCTTGAGGCTTGCATGAAGGCACTTGTCCAAACACTTCAGCTAAATGTGGACAATAGTGATGCCTCCAGTCGTCGTATTTATTTGAGTCCTAGCAATAAATAGCTTGTATAAATAAATAATTTATTACGCTATTTTTTTACGGATAACCTTAATATTACTTAAAATATTACCTCAATAAGTTCTGTTAAATATTGTGCCTCATTTTGATCACTGCACGCTGATGCTAAATATTTCAATACTTTGGTTGACGGAGGAGTTGTGATGTCCAGAAAACGCGTGTATAATTCACGAATGGTTACTGTGGGTATGCGCTCATGTTTCTCCCAAGTTCTTACTCTGCCTAAAGTTTTAAAAAATAATTTGTTATTTGGTTACCCTATATCTAATTTATTGAACGATTTTAAAATTTACTTCATTAACTCTTAAAGTATCTGTCAAGATCCTCTTAAGACATGAGAGTGACAAACGCCAGTTAATTAATTATTTAAGCTGTACTATCGTTGCCTAAATAAAAATAAATCATTCAAAATCAGTATATAGTTTAGACTTTACATATAAGTAAACAAACGTACAAACAAAACTTTTGATTTTTATTATGAAAACGTCTACATATTTGTAATATATACATACGTATGTGATAACATATTTTTTTCGATTTGATTTAAGACTTTGTTTTATTATTAACAACTACGAGATGTTAGTGCTAAGTATCCTGACAATTGTTTAAGTAAACAAAACTTTTTAAAGATAGAGAAAAAACAACCATCATGATTGCTACATAAGGTATATATATATTATTTTTAAATAGTATTCCAACCTGTTGGGGTTAATGTTTCCTTCATAACCTGAAGCTGAACAGTCTTATCAAAATTGTCAATTCCTTTTAATCTTTCTAAAACTGAATCTACAATCTCTTTCCGATTGCAAGGCATAATACCAACATGATCTCCGGGCTCATATTTTAACTCAGTCTGAAATTGAATGTTCAATAATATTGGTCCAAGTCCAGAAAATTATAAAATGATTAATTCTACTTAAATGCAATACGAAATACATACGTCTGATTCCATATCAACAAACACTGTAACACGGTCATCTGTGAATTCACCCAAATTTTTGTTTTCTCTTACTTTACAGGAAATAATATATTTTTTATAACCATCAGTGAGAGCAGTCTCCATGTCCGGTTTTTTGTCGACCTTGCCAAATCTAACTGTTTCTTCGCTTAATCTCAACATACCGAAGGATTTTTTTGCATCCTTTACCATATCGTTCTCTTCTAAACAAAACGATTCACAAGCAACCTTCATAGATGAAAAAGGTTATTTATATGAAAAGAATATAATTATGCATTTACATACATATGTTAATTATAAAATATACATACATGAAATATACTTGAAGACCACGAACGGAATTGCTGCTCTTGACCACTCATTTCATCTCCACAAGTTAGTTCCATAAGCCTCTCTCCGCCTAAGTCTTCTAGGACTCTGTCTATACTTTTTCCAAAATTACAGTATTTTGGATACACACTCGAACCCAGAGCAAAGACAGCGAAACAAACATTGCTTAATGGCCCGATGCTCTCCACGGTCGATGTTCCTGTTACACTGCCTAGTAGAAATTTTTTAAAACAATAAGAAATCGATCTTTCAATTGATGATTTTATCGTCTAAATCATTATCAGTTCCTACATTGATTGTTTAAAGAAACGTGCTTACTTTTATTAGACTCCAATCGTGATAATTGCCTTTTGAAATCGTTGCCGTTTGTAGTTTTAGATGATTCCATGCGAGATATTTGTTTTTTGTATTCTATATTTGGTGCCATTACACTATTTGTCCGCATTAGAGTTTTTGGTGTTGGTACTTTAGTGACGCTGAAATATTCATGTTATCATAAATTTTATGAAAAAAAATATAATTTTAAAAAGTTTTGTACACCCAAACAAATTCATAATTTTTATAAATTGAAATAAAACTAATGATATTAATATGTAGCTTATTTTAACATACCTAGCGCTGTCTGTTAGATCTCCGTATTGTTTTTCGTTGTACAACATTTGAAATAAATGTTTGGCAAAGCCCTGAATAAGATAAAATTACATTATATACCTTTTGCACAAAACGGTTAGCGAAATAATTGCAATAGAGGTAGACTACTTGGCATTATAGTGTGAAAAATAACACAGCTAAAAAAACAAATTGGCTAAAGTTAATACAACTTGTACATAAGTGAACAATTTTGTAGGTGTAGTTAAACATGGCTCTATGAAATAATAATATTTACTTTAATAAGCAGGCTCGTTATGCTTACTAAGCAATGTTTGTGTTGGATCTTTTTTATAAGGGAGGACGGAAAAATCATCAAGATTTTAATTTTTTGTATCCTAAAGGTTTAAGCTTTTGCCGTGAGCCAGTATCACGAAATACAAATTAGATTAATCCTGTTAACTGATATTCTTTAGCATAATTTACGATAAGTTTTTAAGAGCGTTAACTGAATGATAATGAAATATGTTTATATTACATATTAGAAGAATTATTTGAATATTTTATACTGGATTGTCCCAAAACATTTATTTTACGAACTAGTTCAAACTGTTATTGAATAATGTGAAAGTTTTAATGGCCAAAACCATGTTATATTTTCAGGGTTTAACACAACGATTATAACGAGTAATGTAACAATTATATTTATATTGTAATTGAGCTACATTTAAGTATTTAAATTTATAATTATGTGCTATCAAATTCTGTTAAATGTCATACCTCGCCATTCGCGGGAGGTTCACCGTTCCCAAAAGTTGATGTGACGATTAACAAGAGAGTTTCGTGTTCTATTGAAAAGACATCGTAGTCAGACATACAGTGGACCTAAAATAATAAAGTATTTATTGTATGTCTCTCAAACTGTTCATACTTTATTTTGCAACAATTTTAACTGTTTTATAGTAAATAAAAATACTTCAGAAAGTCCGTAAATATCTCTCTCGCACTAAGTTCAAACTTTCGTATAATGTTTTATATGTTTACCTGGGCATTAAACGCGTAACCGAAAATTGTTCCTAACTCTTTGGCATACTGTTCAGATTTCCCCGTTTCTGTAGCATAGAGGATAGTTGCTTTGATTCTTTTAGACAGAGCTTGACCAAAAAGTTTGGAAGTAAACTTGACGGCTCGAGCGATTTGCTTAAAGTGAAACTTTCTATGTCGAGGCTTGTTATCTTCAGACTTGATCCATTGATGAGTCTTCCAAGCTGGTTCCTTTGGGTTTAGGTTTTTGTAAAATAAAATTATTGAAATTACTCATGTGACACAAATATTTTTTTTAGATATAGGTGTAAATGAGTTGCAATTATACTAACCTGATAGTCGTAGGATGGTCTCAAGAAGTATAAAGCCATTTCTTGATGAAATACTGATGTTAATGAAGAAGACATTGGAGGGACGATCCATATCCAATCTGATGGACAACCACCTCTAGAACATATAATTTAATATTAAATACAGTTTTCGTGGAGATTATTACGCCTATTCATAAGTGCAGTTATATGACATATTACCTGCTTTTATTTTCATTATCTAAATGTTTTATAAATTGTTCGGAAGCTGAATGATGATCCACTATCGATACATTATCTCTGTGAAAGCTATGCAACACTGCTATATTAATTTCAACAAGTGCTTTGTCTTTCCATAAAGAGACGTATGAATTTGTATCCAAACCCATTCTGTTTGCCACGCTCTGGAATATATTTGTCAAAACGGTTATTTGTTTTATTTTTTAAAATATCGATTGAATAAATAACGGTGTTATAAATTACCTCTATAATATTAAGTCTGTTAGAGTCGGCGAAATTACGACATCCTATTTCTGTGCCCATGTACCAGCCGTTGAAAGCCGTTCCTGTGAATTCCAGCCCACCACAGTCCAATCTCATATTAGATACTGCTGGCAATGCATACCACTGAAGTCCCAAATCTTGAAACCAGTCGTATCTGTGTAAAGGTATATTATAGGTATAAGAGGTACATAGAAGGACTTCATTGCAATTCCAATATAACTCTGGTTGAAGGTTCAAAACTTATTCCAGTGGAATAAAATATCATTATATATTTTATCTTTGAATTTTAATTCAAAAATTGTTGGATAGGCCATTTTTGGTGAATAAAGTCTATTGATAACTCCTATCATCAACAACAACAAACATCAACATCCTTATCCTAAGTTTAATTTATATTTTTTTCTTTTTCATCTAGAGTATCAAATGCATTATCATGACATATGGTACTTAACTTATATGTATTTATATGTATATATTAAATATATCGATTCAATTAATAAAATTCATAACAAGTTAAAACTACTCATTAGTAAAGCATCTTACAAAATTTCAATGAAATCTTACTTAGGATGCTCCATTTTAACTTCCATAATAATGTCACGGGGAATATCAAAGTAAACAGGATCTTTGCCATCAGCAGATAGAACCAATGGAAGTATGTCCCACGCTGTTCGAGGTGGTTTCCAGCCAAGTTTAACACAAATCTACAAGAATATTTCTCTATTTTAACTTTAACAACTACTTCTACTTTAAAACTTTACAATAATAGCTATAGCTCCAATTATTTTATGTTGCTACGAGACTCAAGAAAGTTCACGTTTAACACAAAGAAACATGCAATCCCAGAAAGACACTTTAAACAGTTTTTGTATGTAACTGCAAGGAAAATTTATTGTGTTTTGTTAATTTCGCAAGGGATTCCATCCTTTGTACATTAGCGGTTTAGTGTTTGTTATCAAGGGAACATTTGGAAGAGTATAACAGTTTAGATTACGTGTTTTATTAGACCATGATTGTATTGATAGTGTTTTATTGTTCTCGTAAATTCTTAAAATTTATAGCATTAATGCTCACAATTTAACGAAATATATTTTTGAAAAATTTGTTAGTGTTTAAGAGTAATTTCTCTCTTTAACCGTTTAAAGTTAATTCAAAGAAACGAGGAAAACCATCTAAGAGTATTTAATTGTGGAACTTGAAATTGTTGTAGTGTTTAAGTCTTATTTCTTTTATTTAGTGGTTTTACTGTAAATTTTAAAGTATAAAGCATTTCTAAATAAGGTTCAGTAATTAAACCGGTCTTATAATCACTTGAATTATATTGTCTATTGTCTTATTCTTATTATGCTCTATAAAATATAATTGCTCCGTTGCCATGAGAACTGTGAATGAATGGTGTGGACTAAAATATATTTTCAAATTCACCGTCCACGAAATATTAATAAATATGAAGAAAACATAATGTAATTATATTAAATTAACACATGTGTGTCTCTAATTGGCGTAAAAAATTCTCGTTTTATACGTAACTAATAGCTACGAGTATATATGTGCGATAAACGCTTTGTTTATAAAATGATTTCTATGATTTTAGCACAATTGTATAAAAAAAAATCTAAAAGGGATTGTCAAGCTTACAATTAGTATTTGTTTTGTTTTAAAAATTACTTTTTTTTTGACTCTATGTAAGTTACATAATAAAAGAAAAAGGGGAAACAAACAAACAACCAGCTTATAATAACAATAACACAAACAAAAGTCACTTAAGCGTCGGTCAATAACGCATAACTCATATAAAGAACTATAGACTAATATGTAATACGTAGATATTTATGTAAACAAAATGAAACACAGATCAAACAATTAGTATAAACATGAAGAACATTTGTGCGTACAATATTATAAAGAGAAAAATATTATGTAATATATATTTTTTCAAATAAACCTTAATTTCTACTTATTTACCTCTGTGAATTCTACCCGCGCTGGATCACCTAGAATAGTGCCATCTGGTTCCATGTAACCAGCGTAGCAGATTAGTTGTGGGTTCCAAATTCTATAGTCATGTTTGCCGTCCGTCCGTTGAGGGAATATTGTTATTGCTGATCTGAAACATATTAACATATTATATTTGTCCAAATATCTGATACCTGAGCGTCAAATCTTGATTCAATAGTGAAAGAAAAAGGGAACTAAAACAAATTTTTTATAATTTTATTATTTAGTATAGATGAAAAAATATCGCTTAATAGTTACTTGGCATTACTTATGTAAGCCGGATTACAACCAGCTACTTCAGCGTACTTAGCCATCATTATATGTATGTAACTCAAGGTTGGAAAAAATGGCATATTTCGTTAGTGCCGTTTTACTTATTGAAAACTAAGTTCGACATTCTACTTTAATTTAATTCAATTTGATTCATTCAAATCAATTAATGGAAGTACTTACTTCAATTAACTGATAATAATGATTAACGAACATGACAATGTCATTATATTTAAATAAACAATGAGACCTAAAGAACCGCTGCTCAAAGTTAGCATAGAAATATATAAATTTTAATATTGCCACGTGCTTGGTATTCAAGGTTTTAAGAGAAATCTATAAATAATTCATTCATTAAGCCAAACAATCTAGACGTAATTGATAATTGATATTAACCATAGTTATTAATACTAATTGAATTCAATATAAAACGGAAAATTATTAGTTTCTGCAAAAAAAAAACCAACAAATTATCGGCCTTGAATTACCTACATATTATCAAATTTATTGCATGTACCGATGTCTTTTTTATCGGCATGTTATTTGTATCCATGTTTATAAAAGAATTTTTGGTACTGACTTATATTTGTAACAGGTGCAAGATCGATATAATTTCATTCTTTTTCATATTACCGTCGAGTTTTTACGAATTTGCATAAGTAGGACAAAAAAAAAATTTAACATCACAACATTTAACATATTTGTTTTGCAAATAATTTATGTTGTACAAAAGAACATAGAAGTATTTACGTTTTTGACATAATCAAATTCTTTTTTTCTCATCATTTTTTAAACGATTGTCATCTGTTAATTAGCTTTGTTGTAGCAGTCGTTTGACATTTGCCACCAATATTATCGTTCACAAACGATGAAGCCATTCAATTGTTCAAAATAGTCTTTTGTAAATATGTCACTTCCATTCTGTATTTTTTGTAAAGAATATGTTATTGGAAAAATTTAAAATTCTTTGCCATCTATTTTTTAAGCCTGAGTTTTCATATTTCCATACAAAATATTTATTAATACGAGTATAATTTAAAATATTTTTAAAGCCAAGTTTTTTGATTATAAATACATATAAAGATTTTATATATTATGTATATTTTAGCAGTACTATTATTTGTGTAACATAAAATTAATATAAACAAATAAGAGATCATATCTATATGTAAATATAACAATATCTCGGTATTTACCTTATGTTTCCTTTATTCGTGGCATATTTAATGTGATTGCAAAGCGATTCAAACATGCCACTCGCCGTTGTAACAGCTCTGCAGTCGAATATCTGTGAAAAGGTATTTTTGAACTTTTCTCACCAAAACCAGTTTCAGAGAGAAAATGTTTTCCATATTAAAACTCAAGCCACATTTCTGTTAATGTCTTGTATACTCATTATAAAGTTAACCTTAACGTTGTCCTTGTTAAAAGTTTACTCCGTTGTTATTTGTAAAATATTATAACCGACTTTTCTTCTGTTTCCGGGCTTTTATTAGGACACATAATTAATTGTAACAAAATATTTGCTTTCTTTATCTTCGTGTGATATAAACAATTAATGCCGATTTTTAACGATTGCTCGAATTTTATTTCGTATATATGTTATAAAACCTAAAATAAATTGTATACCTGTAGCTTTTTCCACTGTATACGTCCAATACATCGAGAGGCGTTCCTCCACGCTAGTTTCGCTCCGAACACTAATTCAGGTGTTTTCAATTGATATGTGCCAGTTTCATTTAACTCCCTTTCAACCTCTTGTATTCTTTTAAGATGTGCATCTGAATTTTCTCTATGGACGTAAATAAAGCCTCATTTTCCGCACAAATATATTTATTAATATTTCACTTATAATAAGAAACAAAAACATAAAACATAAGTTTAAAATGAAATTATTAAAATAAGTCATAAAAATTTGTGATTCGAGTACAATTGAACGGACAGAGCAGTCTTGTAAACGAGGTTCGTGGGAACTATGCTGCATTGAGGTTAGTTTTACACCTAATTTGGTTATAAAATTACTATGCGTGTGATAATAATGCTAATATACCTTCGTATCGAGGAGAAATATTGTCTGAGAAATGCTTGGGCTTCTTTAAACACCTCTTCTGTGGTCCGTGGAGTGTCCCCTCTGTTTGGAATATCCATTACGCTATTTTGACACACTTTTTCGGAACATTTAGTGTTCTGTAAAAATAAAACAATGATATTTCTATGTCGTTATGTTTGTATAGCTACGAGTATATTCAAATCAGGTTACTTCATCGAACAAAAAAAATAGGAATGCTGAGTATGTTTTTCAAATGTTTTTTTAAAAGTATCCTTTTTATGTTTTAGGTTATTTTAAAATTCTTTTCTTTAATACTTTTAATACATATGAGACAATCGAACCCAATCTGTCTCTTGAAGTTTATTGTAGTTTTGAGCCCCTCAATGACATGATCGTTGGTAAAAATGTATTAAGACAAATATTTTTTTTTTTTGGATTATTACTACTAAAATAAAAAGAAGGCTAGCCAGTTACATTAGCCACAAGAGTAATCCTAACAAAAGGGCTGCCACTATTTAAAAAACATGACGTGAACTAATGAAGATTGTCTCAACACGATCCCGGGGGATACGTTTGCTGAGCTCAGGTTATCTTGGTTGAGGTAATTTGTAGTTAAGACCAATGCGGTTCATTTTGAACCAGTACCAGCTTAAACAGCTTATGAAGCTCTTCGCGTGTAATAAGTGTGGATAGTTATTCGTTTTTGTAAAAGTAGAAATATAATAGACCGGAGTTCTTGTTGTAATTGCCTTTTTGTGAATCCTTCACTTAAATCTTGATTCTGAATTATATGAAATTTATATGTTACCTTAATCTTTACACAAATGACTAAGTGGCTATTAGTCGGTTGGTCGCAAAATTTTAAACGCTTTAGGTATTATTTGTAATATGCCGCGAAAAATATATAATTTCATTAGAAAAATCTTTTCCTTTATCTGTAAAAATATGTGGGTATACAAAAATTATTATATTTTAAACTATTGACGCACTAGGTATGGATTAATCTTAAGATATCAAAGTAATTAATACTAACGACAAAACAATTAAAATTCATTAACATACATATAATTAAACAAGCGTCTTGGAAGTTGCGATATGATCTATAGAAACAATGTTTATAAATTGACTCTCAATTAGCACCTACACAAGCTGTATGAAGAAAAACCCATCTTTATTAACATAGGTTCATATTGACAGAGGTATCATATATGAATATATTATAATATCAATAAATGGCTGTTAGGATGCATATCAGTATTTTTACCCTTACACTGCCAGACTAAACACAAAATGGTATACTAGTTGAATTAATACTTCGATGTGAGTACTAAGGATAATTCTAAATAGAAGGAAATTTTAATAAAAGTACATATTTTTAAGATAACTGAACAAAGCGCCGTTCATTTGTTTTAATCAATACGACATATTAACTCAGCGATATCAATTTAAACGAATTGATACTGTCATCGATTGATGTAATGAATTTGTGTTTAAAAAAATGTATGGCATTTTTGTTTAAAAAAATGTATGATAAATTTTGAAACGTCTATTTAAACATTCAATTTGTAGGTGGTTTTGTCATAAATGTTTTTCCTTATAGACAAATTGTTTGTTGATATTTAGATATGTGATGAATTCATAGAATAAAAACCGCTCAGTATTGATACTCCTAATAAAATGTTTAAATTATTTTTTTATTTCGATTTAATTTTATTGAATATTAATATTTTATAAAAATCTTCGTAATAAAACTATAATATATCACTACATTGCATTATTTGAATGGAAATTAATATTATTTTAATAAACAACTCTATCGAAGTATGTATGTATTGCGTTACTATTATTACTTACATCAACTAAGTCAATAAAAACTTTACTTAACTCTGTTGAGGCCACCTTACTAATCAGAAATTATATCTAAAATTAAATTCTATATGGCTTTTAGGAACTCTTATCAGTAGTAGTGTCGGATAGATATTTTATGGAGCTATTGAATTTAGAGCTATTTCTCGGGTAGATGTTCATGTGGAGAAGTATGGAATACAAATAAATAATTACTAGCCTTCTAGTAAGAAGTACCTATACAAATGCATGATTACATATACTTCATTGCATTATATGTAATGCTGTCTGAATGGAAATTTATATATTATTTTAATAAACTACTCTATCGAAGTGTATATTGCGTTATTTCTACTATTTATAGCAATTAAGTGAATAAAACTTTACTTAACTCTATTGAGGCCACGTTATAGATCAGAAATTATATTAAAAATTAAATTCGTTATCTATATATCGTTTTTTGGACTGTATTATGAGTAATATTACTGATTGTCGGGTAGATGTTTATATAATATAAAAAAATACTAGACTTCTATGTAACAATTATTACACAAATGTATTACACCTTACAGTCTATTGCAATATAACGCAATCTCGTTTGGTATTGCCATGTTCGTTCCTACAATCAAACGTGTAAATTGGTTAACCAGCTTCTTGTGTTCGTATGCTTGTATAAATATTGTTCAAACTTCAGCTTTGTCTCATCAATTATATACCAATATTAGGTTAACATATACTTTTTATAAGATGTAAACAAAGTTTAAAAAGAAATAGCATTTGTGTGAACAGCTTATAATTTAAGCGCATATTAATTATTTTAGAAGCATTAACGAAAGCAGCAATTTGTATTCAGAAGCGTATAATCTTAATGTAATTAACTCGACCTCGTTTATAAGTCATAAAAAAATCGATTATCGAGGTTAATAAGTAATCTGTCATTCCCATCACTAATAAAAACGGTGAATTTTATAGCCTGGGAAACATTTTAATGGTCAAAATCTCGTAATCTGTAACGAATTAATTATGGTTTTTATATCTATTATAGTTACACGGAACGAAGGTATAACCGGATCTAGACAATTGTGACCTCAACATTGTAATACGATGATCAAACGGGTTCAGTGTACTCAATACCGTTATTGTCTGCTATTGAGCTACCGAGACAAACCAATTCTCATTTGACGTCTGTCAAACATTCATTTGAGATGCAATTTATGAGCATAACAACATGCAGGCTTTATATAAATTGGCCTTCATAAAAGAATCGTCTTATGTTCTTTGGCAAAAAAAAAAGAAAATCGTTTGCTCTCCTATCTAAACAATTCAAACACCGAATGAGATTTTTGAGAAATAAAACATTGACTTAGAAGTTAGAATAAAACAATTTCTGTATCCCTAATATTTTTTTATCTTACAATGATTGACCGGAAAGGAATTTTGTGGGTGATTTCTTTTGTGGTAATAGCTTTTGACATTAGAGTTGAAATCGAAACTGTCAGATTATCATATTCCGAATTCGTTAGAGAGCTGTGGTTGGGTAACTTTTAAGTTTTAGAATTACATAAATTAATAATGCTACAAGGATACTACGAAATAAAGTGTTTTGTTTTGTGATTATTTTATTTAATTTTCATAATAAAAATAGTTTTATCATTCCCATGTACCATAGACAAATCGTCGCCATTTTTATCTCCTAATAGAGTGATTACTCGGCAATCTTTTTTTTGTAGTATCATTATAAAAACATTCAATATTTGAATAATGATAGCACTGGTTAGATTTATTACCTGTGTCATTTTAGAGAAAATATTGATATAATGATATAAGTTGTGACGTTCAGTAGCTCCGGGTCGTCAAGGATTTTAAATTTCAATTCATACATTCATAAATTGTCAACAAAAGTTATTGCTGCCCAAAATATTGCCTTTTTTATAAAGTATAGTTTTGACAATAATTTTTCGTATAATTTAATGTAAGCAGAATGTAAAAAATGTACAGGTTATAATTTTTATCTCCTTTTTTTCACTTGTTCCATTTTCATATCTACCTGGCAATAAACACAAAACAAACTGAAGGCAATCCAATGCCAGACAATTTGGAACACAGACCTCGGGATTCCCCGCATCCGCTTCGTCACGTTTCAATCCCATCTCGGTCTCGTCTTGATTGCTTTTTTCTTTTTGTTTCATTTTTATATGAAAAGATCTTGTCAATTATTATGGCCATAGATACTATACGTAAAGATTGTTCTGCGAAGTATAACGTTCAGAATTCCCATATTCTAATTTATTTATTTTTCTTTTGAAAATCGTTAATACAATAAGACCATCTCAAATCAGGTTGACTGATTGCAGCCTTGAAATCCTGTTATGAAACTCTTCTTGGAACTAACAATTCAGATTATGCGGACAGCACTTTTAAAACTTACATTTGATTGAATATAGAAGATTGCAGATTTTTCTTAAGTCTTATTTGAAATTATTCATCCCGAGTATGCTATAAGTAATTTTATTTAATTCGTTTTCATATCTTTACAAATTCAGAATACCCCTTTTTGTTTCAACTCTTTGAAGGACTGTAGGTTCAAGGTTATGTACATATGTATAAAAAACATTAATTACGTAGTTACTCTTAAAATTTACAGATAAAGCATTCGCATGATTCCAAGTAATAAATTAATACACCTCTAACAAGCGGTCCGCGAAACTAGATCATTATTTAACGTTTAATGAGAGTCTGTCAGTCGGTCTTTGTTATTAAATTAGCACCGTATTTCAAGTGGCCTGTGAAATACAAGGTGTGCTAAGCTCGTCTCAAAAATAATATGTATTTAACAAATAACCCTAATTTTATAATTTAATTCAATTCTATAAGAGCTTTTCTTATTATTTTTTGGTTCATGTTAAAATAATTTTTAATAAAAATATTAAAATTTTCGATCTCTCTGTGCTCGTCTGTTCCAGTCATCTGCTAAACAGACTTCGGTTAAATTAGTAACCCAACGATTCAATATCAAAATATGTTTTGGCTCACATGTCTTTATATTCCATACATATTTAATTTAAATTTCATTTAAATGTAATCTATTTCATTGTATTGATTTTTAAGTCACATACATTGATCATATATAATTAGATAAGAAAGTTCAAAAACAGTTTTTATTGAAGAGTGTTTAATATATTTTCTATAGTTTATGTTCGCAATAAAAAAAATCACCGTGAATGTAGTTGTGTGTTGTTAGTCTAAATACGATTGGACAATAATATGACATAAAAAATATATTGCAACGTGTTATATCAAAGAAACATAATTTTATGAATGTTATAAAGATCTTGAGTTGAATCACATAGTACAAAATTATGTCTGACTATGTCATTGACTTCGTTGGAGCGAAATGACTTTTTATATAGAAAAAGTAATTAATTAATAAGCAAAGCTTATTTTTTAACATCAGCTATGTGTCAAAGAAAAAAAAATGGTTCAAAACATTCCATACATTCCAGAGATTAGATAGAAGGAACAGACGGACAAAAAAATTTTTTTGTATGTATATCCCGTGTATTTAGCAATATGTATAGTAAAAGTTGTTTATTTCAATATTACATACATATTGTTATTTTATTTATTAGTATAATACATTCTATGATGAAGATATTTTAAGATAATCGCCGATTCAACACATTTTATAAAAAACATGTGATAAATCTCAGTCTATTTATTTATTTTTTGTGAATTTTATTCAAATTTATGAAATTTAATTTAATATGAAGTATGATTATGCAGTTTTCCATTTAAACGAAAACCGCTTACGTCATTCTAGTATAAAATATTCAATTTTTATTCAGCAAAAATATAAAGTTTTCACGATGAATGGCTTGAATTCTCTTCTGACAATTGTATTTATAATCGTGGATACTTTAACTGGAGCTTGTAATAATGTTATATAGTTTACGATCGTTATATAAGTCAGTTATGAATTACAAATGTAATGTTACGTGTACTATGTGTAACGGAACGTATTTAACAGATATCTATAACATTTGTCTTGTTTCTTTATCTTTGATCTGTAAATTTGATATTTAGAAACTCAAAACCGATACGTGGTCCCTTATCAGCACAATCAATCATTACCGCAATGAATCTGACAGGTTATTAAAGACTTATACATAAGAAAATACAGTCAGGTTTATAATAGAAACTAGTGGAAGCTTGATTGAGTTGTTAATTGAGAACAATTTATGAAGTTTTGATATCAAGATTTTGAACCAAGTACGTTTACCTACCCTTGTACTAAAATGGGAATAATTTTAGTCATATATATACAAATAGCCATATATATATACAAATAACTCATCAAATTAAGAATAAATCATTAAAGTAACCGAAGTGTCGACTAAATGTAGTATAATAAATAGTAAAATATATCCTAAAATGATAGTTTCACACAGTTGTGTATTGACGAAAACCTTGATTACATTATTATAGCATTGAGTAAACCGTGACAAAATGTGTAAGACATCATCAAAAAATTATTTCATGTTTAAAATTAGCGCCCATATTTTATTTCAATATAATGAGTAATGATAAAAATATTCTTGGAATAACTATGTTTCAGTTCAGTGGCGGACCTCCGCCTACGAAAGATATCTGTAATAATTTTGGTGTGACATCTAATATGCTCTACCATGCATGCTTGGGTATTAAAATATATAATTCATGCCTATTTTTAAGGCAAAATTTTAGATTGCAATTCAATACTAACTTTTCGATCCGTTTTTATTTTAACTACAATTAATATGCTTTTTAATTAAAACTAAAATTCGATTCGTTTATCATGTGTATAATATAAGGTGATTATTAATAAAGCTGTTTAAGTTACTTTGTACTTATGAAAACATTGATTAGAAGTCATCAAAAGTATTTGGTTCAGCCAAACTACAAGTAGTTCTTATGTTTTTCAGAACACGACGCAGCAGGATCTATTGTGTACATATTTTTTTTTAACCATACCAATGCATAAATAAATTCAATTCACCACGATCTAGACTATCATTTAATTAAATCACAATATTCTTTAAAAGTCATATCGCGTCGATGACGTCACCTTAAAAGATATTATTTAACTCGTTAATTTTCATACTATTCGTCAGAGACTTTTCTATAATTAAGATTATTTAATCATAAATACAAGTAACTCTTTAATTTATTCAAAGAAATAAACGGCAGGGTACAAAACAAATATGATTTTGTCTTCACAGTGTAAATCCCAGGAGGTATTTATGCGCGTGCGCAAACAATTAGACCGAGCTATCCCAGAGACACGTTACCAATTCCTGTTAAAAATGTGGAGAGACTGCAACCCCTACAAACAAGCTAAAAAATAATCTAAACATAAATATATCTTGCTACAGCTATGAGAAGATTTCCAAATGTTATTAAAAAAATGAGTTAATTCAATACCAATTCATCTGCTCGAAATAATAAAGTTTTCACTACATTACTGATTTTGATTCTTTCGTAACCCTAATTTGTATCACAAAATTATCAAACCAAAAACATATCAACTCAATATTTCGCTATTCATATGTTAGAATTTTAATTGGAATATAAAATACTACAAGCAAAATTTAATATAACTTTCCTTACTGTTCCTTTTAAACTATTTTTTAAACTGTTCATAGTAAGCTCTGTGTTTACTGAAAACGGCAAAAGTTGTTAGGGAATGAACTGAACGCAATTGTTCTATTATTAATCACATTCCAGTAACACATTGAATTTCGTAACGTGTACATTTGTATTCTCAAATTAGAATCTTCTGTCATTTAGATGTAAACAAAAATTGTAAACATAGTTTTTGTTAGCTGCAGCGTAATTTATCTCCGGTAAATTTTAGCTATTACTTAATACTTGGAAATACAAATAAAACATTTATAATGAATGCATATTTAAAAGATTCATCTCATAGCAAATATTTTTATACATAACTATTTTAACATATCATTCGGCAGTTAGATAAAATGTTCAAATGATCTGAAATTGGAACATAATATTTCAAATAGCGATATAATTTTAATATAACAATCTGTAAAAAAACGATTTATTTTATTCACAGCGAAACGCCGACTCAATACCGACAACATGATCGCTATATAACAATAGGGGACCTATTTTTTTGTTGAAATTAATAACCGGACACATCATTTTTTTATCGATTCCTAATAACGTTTAGTCACATCTAAATGTACATCGTGATGTTATAGGCAAGGGAATCAAATATAAATGTAAACTTGTTTGTTATATACAATGCTACCGAAGTTAATGATTAAAATATTTGCACTTTATAATTTTGTTTCAAACCACAGCAGTTTGTTTCAGAAAATATAGGAATAAGAAAGTGTTTATTAAAAATTAAAAGATCTCAGGAAAGTAAAAATGTTCGCATTGAATATAATTTTTATGACGGAGTTTCAAATATATATATTTTATTTAAAAAGAATGTTTTTTGTATTTGAATGGTTAACAGTCTATAGACCTAATAGTAAGTGATCACCGTCATATATGTAAATTTGCACTCGTAAGAGGTGTTCCGAGTATGCCACCGGCCTTTACAAAATTATAGTATCCCAATTTACATTGTACTGCTACTGATGACTATATGTAATTTCGAAAATTAGATACTAAGTTTTTTATTACAAACTTTGTTCAGCATTAAATCATTACTTCTTTTAATACAAAAAAGAATAAAATAATTGTGTTATATAACTTACGTATAAACATTTTTTTTCCACACTTCACTGAGAAAATTAATGCCAAAGAAAATCTCCAAAACTTACTGTTATATCTATTATGTAAACGAACTTTAAGAGATTAAATATTATAACTCCGCTCTTTTCTATCTCAGACAGCTAAATATCGAGATGAAACATTCTGAAGATATGATTTGATAAAGAAATAGTGATAAATATTTATCATTATTTTGTCTCTGCAGTTTTTTTATATTTCATACAATCTCTATTGAAAAACGTATGTTTCAGTGCTTCCTCAAATAAAGTTTTTATTAATATTTATATATTACAAAATAAATAATGTTTAAACTATAAATGTCAAATACTACGATAAAATTATTGTTAATGTAGAGAATTCAAAGAAAAAGATGTAATTATTTGTCAACTTAAGTATTTACGATATTTTTTGTGAACGTTTTTTCTGTATATAAAAAATATATTTAAGATTTAAAAATGTAACGCCCGGGTGCTTTGATTTATCATATAGATGAAACTTCAAGTTTAGACGTTCAAAAATATATACTTTTGTAAATAACGAAATAAAATATTATATCTTAAACAAATATTCAATATTAGCAGATGACTCGTAGGACATATGGCTTGACGTTTATTCATATATATGCACTTAAATTTATTGATGGTAGTCATTTTCGTAAAATTATATATTAGTTAACTTTAATAAACAACATTATTTTCACATTAGCCATACAGCATTATTATTTTAATGGCTTAAAAACTCACTATTAATTTTAATTTTATGAATGTCTTAACACTATAGCTTAAAGCAAAACAAATTTGATTTTAAACAGCTCATTGTTTGCTGTTAAAATCATTAATATAGTGTGTGTTAACGGGTGTGTTGTTTTGATGTATTTTCACCAGTGCATCATATTTTAACCAGGAGTATTAATATTTTATAATTTCGTCGAACTCCAGCGCATGTTTGCTCTTTATCTTTTGTTTACAAAACGTGTATTACACTGGAATAAATCACTTACGAAACTGCACATTTCATCGATCTGTGAGTGGAGGTTGTCGAAGTTCTCCTCACCAACCAGGTGATTTTTCAGCCGTATGGGTTGAGGAACCTTCAGCTTCAGATTAGGTTTTCCGTTCTTCTGTCCATCCACAATACTTCCACTGAACGGACAATATCCATTAACACGATTCGCAACCGCCATTTTATGTAATTCGTAATCAGTTTCCATTATAACACCTAATTTTAGCACTTATTTAGTTCTATGTGTGTCGTTGCTTGTTATACAAGTCACGTATCTAACGTTCAAACAAAACGCGCGACCCTGTGCGTACTAACAGAGATGTAAGCTGCAGCATAATATATATGTAAACTGGTGTAGGTTTGAGTGCGGACTGAGTCTGTTGTCTCGGCAACCGGTCCGGCGTCCGCAAAAAATATCAACAAGAATCGCGTCACGGCAGTAATTATGATAAAAAATTAACATATTGGAACCAACTTGTACACGGACTTTCCTATTTCAATCCGGATTCAAGTGTTATTTTAATTAGATCTTATTTAAAATCGAATTTATCAATCAGGTATTAATGAGATACATATACATTCTTTTTTAAATTCCAGTGGTTTTGTTATTTGTGTTAAGACGTTTGTAATATCATGCGAGGTTTGTGAATCTTAAATATGTGTTTTACTTAATGGTGATATATTTACATTGTTAATAACCATATCAGTTTATTTATAGGCACCGAAGGTTGTTAGTATAATCTGATTAAAAGGCTAGACACAGGCATAGCGAGTAGGGGTGATATTGTTACAATTTTGTTGTTCTATTTAATAAACATGTACGTAGTTTTTTATAAACATCTCTGCTTATATATAGCCTAGTTTTTTAAAGATACAAGAATTTTGAAACTTTTAGTATTTTTTATGGTGGGAAAGAACTCAAAACATTATTTGGAGAAAGTTATATGTATGTTTCTGACATTATTCTATAAATAATATTCGCATAATCAATAAAAAGAAATTGCTAAGGTAATGACTTATTGCTAATATTTCTTCATATCTAAAGTAACTTAACGGCAATTTCCTTCCTAGTTCAATTGATAAGAATTGCATAATTCAAAACGCCCACCAGTAATAGAATGAACTAGCCCAGTAATTGTGTAATAAAATGCTTGTATTAAAACCTTATCCATAATAAGACCACATTCAAAAGGAAGCCATATATCTACTAACGAGACGGGATTTTTGACTGTTCTATTTTAAAGAAGTTTATTTTTAATCGATGGTGCTAGAGCCAAAACAGGAGAGTTATATTTGTAACACAATTATCGAAACATTAGTGCTCGAACAATTAATTGTTTGTTTTAGTTTATCGACTTCCTTTTATAAGTTTTTTAAAGTTTTAACGCTGTTTAAAACAGCAATTTTAAAAGAATCTGGCTTTAAAATAAAAACGTTACGAAGAAGAAAGAAAAGAAATTATTTGAAATTACACTATTTTTTAATTTAAAAAATATATAAATATATATATTTTTATAGTACATCAATAAACTCTCGGTTTGTTCCTTACATTTCTTACACTTTTATTCGACAATATTTGGTAGCGGGATGTTACAAATATTACAGCATCAGAATTTACCAAATGGAGAAAGTACGTATTCGAGATCAGTTAGTGCTTATTGTCAATCATATTAGAACTATTGACATCGGCTTATTTATGACAAACAAGCTCCCAGGTTCTTCCCAGATTTTCAATTTCAACAAATCATAGTCATAATTTGGAAAACATTGATGACTAAATGTCTACGTGAGTCTTGACAGATATTTCCACTTGAATATGTTTCTGATGCCAGAACGTATGCTTGAACTAAGTAACAAATATAGGTATATGAATAGAAGACAATCTCTTATATGTTTATAATATAGGCTTGAATAAAATAAAAAATAAATATTTATATTATATGCAGTCGCATTTATTTCAATGCGATCGTAAATTGAATGGCAAATGCGTTCATAACACGTTGCTAGTAGTAATATTCTATTATAACATTATAAGATATTATATTTTTATATATTATTGAATTTTTTTTTAATTATCTTGGTATTTCCCATGAACCGGCATAACATATTAAGTATTATTATGAACTATAACGTCAGCTTTGAATTAATGTGAAACCATATATTATATAATTCGTTCAAGGCAAAAGGATGTGTGTTTATATGTATGTACTCAACTATAATAAAGGTGGAAGTTTCGTTTGTTGGAACATTTTAAACATAAGAACAACTTATAATATATAATAACTTTGTTTTTTATCACAATTTTCTTACAATAATCAGCCCTTATATAAATTATTATATGTATATCCACACACATGAAATATTTTTTATGAATATTACATAATATATATGAATATTTTACATTTATACATATATAATATATGATGACGATGAGAATACATGCAACTAACACGTAATTAGTGATAATAGTACGCGGAAAAAGGTTTTCCTACCAATTGACCGTGGTCAAGGAATTCCGACTTGATTAAGAGAACGTACGCATATGCATATATTGTCATTTTTCAGTTCGGTAACTGTGATAGAGAGTTTCAATTTTAATTAATATAAACGAAATTAAATCGCTATATTGACTTAAATTTACTCTTTTTAATTTACTCTATAAATCTATAAGTATCTTTTAAAAATTTATTTGATTTCTCACCACGTGTACCATAATCTGTCGTTGATTTTAAAATTCTTACAGAAACATCTTTTCATACTTTACTTTAGTAAATTTGATCTAAATTTAATCGATAAAAGTCAAATCAATCAACTTTTATCTTCCGATGTCTAATGAATGGAATTATGGTCAGAATCTTAAGAAAAGAGTGAATCATTTATCTTCAGGTGCATAAATACAAAAATGTTTGCTGTAAAGAAAATGCTGTAAGAATGTAATATATAAAAAAAAACTTTAATGAATACTTTAAGAATATATTTCATCTGAAAATGAAAAGATTTGAAATACATAAATAATATAGGGACGTTCCACAGTTTATCATTAGTAATAATACACCAATTTAGCAAAGCCTGTGCTTTGCTAAATTGGTGACACATGAGGTAGAAAATGACCAGGTTTTACCAAATCAGATAAAAAAATATTTAAATATCAACTTAACCACGTCACGTCTAAGCTGTTATAAAGAAATTACAGGTATTAGACTGACTAATACTAAACAATACCAGTAAGAGGAAGAGGAAAGACAAAGTAAAAGAACAATGTATGACGCTACAGATCAACGCCCTTTCACGAGTTTAAACGCGACATTATATCAAACATAACACTATTTCTAAGAACAGATGCAACAGAGATATTTACAAGGTCGCAAGTTAATAGACTCTCGCTGAGATCTACGATAAAACATTATTTATCCTTGTTCTATTAAAACTATTGTTATATATTAAAAAAATACTACTTAAATAAAACCAATAGCAGCTATTGCTATTTAGTCGAATGTAAATTTAATTCTTATGACAGGAATAGATATCTTATTTAAGATATTAAAAAGAATATTAAAATAAAAAAGACTGTTCACATATATGTGTCCAGATAAAAGATGATAAGAGTATTAAATTCTTCAAATATGAATGCTAATATTAATTTAGGCCAAAAATAAATTAGCTCTCTTTTAAAATTAATTTATAAATGATAAGATGCATTAATAATTGTTTCAAATTTTGTTTAACACAGTAACTGTACAGTCTATAGCACCTTATCATATTATAGCCACTCCAATAATATTATACTAAAACAAAATGCTAAATAATAAACTATATAATTTTAATGCTAAATCAGAATGCTTAATAACAATTTTGTATGGAGTTTAGTAGAATAATTGTGTTTTTTAAATAGTGCCAATATTTTGCAGCAAATGTATACATTTAATAAAATTCACAAGTATACTGTATAAGTATACTTGTGAATTTTAACTTGGGAAAGGAGAAAAATTGTTACTTCTGTGACATAAAGAACATATTACATCTCCCATTAAAAGCAAATTCTATCTATGATTAAAGTTATAGGATGAAAATAAAACAAAACTTAGTCATTACCGAATATCAAGGAACTTTATTTGATAAATAACAGACAATTTATAATCATATATCGTCAAATATTAATATTAATTAACAGTTAAATTCAATAAGTATTTGAAATCGTGCGAATAATTTGATATGAATCTGATAATATTTTTTAGTCCCAAAGGTGCAATAAATTTTATCTGATTGTAAATATCTGGTAAAGACAAACATTAATATTTTACGAAATAGAAATATTAATAATTAGAAATATTGTATATATTTAAAAATTAATAATAGAAAATATGAATACATTTCTTAGGACTAGCGTAAAGGATCACATAGTCAATTCTAAGTAAAGTAGCGTAGAAGAAATTTGAGACGAATGGTAAATACAGCTGGAACATTAAATTTTACTATCCTAATATTTTTTTTTCGTTTTTATAATTCATGTAAATATTTGGCTTAATTATAACGATTTTAAAATCATGTTTCATATATTGTTTTAATAAAGTAAACATTAAATTACTCAATAAAATTGTATGTACAAAGAATAAAATAAACTAACTATAATTTATTTTGTACAAAATTTGGCAATATGTTTTAAATAATGTTGAAATCCATTGTTATATTGAATTCATTTGAAATAAAATATAGTTATAAATGCACTAATATAAATGCTAAATAAAGCATACCAACATACATACGTCAAAAACATTGAAACTAACTATACATTTTAAATTTTTTCTTGTAATTCTGCGTGAATTTTTTATAAGGATCATTATTAGGATTCACTTCTATTAACGAAAGCAATCTAATAATTTTATAGCAATAGTTTAATTTAATTTAGTTATTATGTGTGCGTGTATTTCTGCAAAATTTAAGGAGACATTACTCCTTTTTCTTATTTACAAATTCAATTAAATGATACACAACCTCCTAGCCTGACGGCTAAAACAAATCTTTTATTTATATAAGGGATGCCTTAATTTACTTAAAGAATAAAATGGATAAACACTTTTCATAGCTGCCCAATGTGTTAAAATGTAATATAATACTGTATTTATTAAAAGCTACGTAAATAATGAGGGACAACATTTTAACTACAATTTGACTCTCGTTTATCTTTCTTTCATTGATACTGAAAAAATAATAAAAACTGTTTTGATTTGTTTTATTTAGATAAACTCTACTAGAAGCTGGACCACAAAAAACCAATAATTATTATATTATAATACTAATTATTATAAGATTAAGCATAAAGACGACTTTCAATATTAAATACAATATGATCGCTGTAAAAAGCGCGATTTTCTAGATATTAGAAGTATATTATTTGATATCGTAAAAGACAGTTAAGCTTGTTTTGAATTAACATGATTTGAAACAAAACGTGACGACCGGCGTCATGGTTGGGCTGCCACTCGGTTCCTACGAGCTGATTCACGAGAGGCGCTGTGCACTTCAGCCGTGCGGAGTGTAATGCCGAATATATCCTCGTGATAACGATTTTCTTCCTTTAAATTAAGGAAAGATTTGTCAAATAATTACCAAATATATATTATTTAAAAAAAAAATCAATTACCTTAAGCAGGAACATGAAATTCTGAACCTGTTCGTCAGTCATGTTACCGTGCTTCTTGACAATTCCTTTTAGTTTTTGGTGCACGTCTTCAGCCATCTTACAATCGCCACAAACATAAAAGTGTGCACCCCTATTAATTAGTAAATCGTGAATTTCAGCTCCTTCCTTTTCTGCCAATTCTTGGACGTACATCTAACAATAACGATTGGTTATGAAATTATGAAGCTAATTTTATATTTTTTATAATACATTCTAGAGTAAAAGGTTTCAATTTACCTTAGGAACATTTTTTTCTCTGGACAAAGCAAGAAAAACTTTCGATAGAACTCCCTCCTTCAAAGCATTCTCCTTTTCTTCTCTATATAAATCCATAGTTTTGGTACGACATCCAAAGAAAAGCCATACAGGTCCGGCATTGAGCCGTGAGCTAGCATTAAGAAGAGCTCTACGATGATGCCAAAATCCTCTAAAAGGTGCAATACCTGTTCCTGGGCCTATCAGTATAAGAGGCACAGTAAGGTCATGCGGAAGATGAAAATTTGGAGCACTGAAATGAATACAAAATATTAGTCACCAATAGTATGCGATGACTCAAAGGGAAAATACAATAGAATGTTTACCTTCTAATGAATAGGTAAACCTCATCCCCAGATTTACGATCCATGAGATAATTTGAGCAAACACCATAGTGGACAGGACCTTCGCCATCTGTTTAAACATGACATCACTCACATGCAATATGTATATTAATAGAGAACTAGACACGTTACTTATATAGTGGACAGCAATAGATTTTTGAAAGAACACATGTAATATATTAAATCTGATATAGAAATAGATATATCATTATATTTTGATCATTTATTTTCAATCTTGGCAAGAATAGTGACATTATAAACGATGTTTTGTATGATAATTATCTAATTTTGTGTATTTTTACCAACCTTGAGTTCTGTAAGTAACGACTGCAACCGTGAGATGTAATCGTTTCGGGTGGGCGATTGGAGATGATGAAATTGAATAAAATCTCGGTTGCAAAGGGGATAAGAGTGCAGCAAGCAATGACGCACTTGGTTTTGCAGAGCTAAATTGACTTAGAACTTCTGGCAAGGTTGGGAAATGGTAGTGTCGCCAATCTTCGTAGGCTGCTGGGTCCTAAAGGAAATAAAATATTTATTTAACTTTAAGAACGAATATGTGCTACAATATTTACATTAAAACATAATTTTGAATGAAAATTCTACCGTTGAGAGAGTATTAAGTTGTTTCCTTTCTTCTTCATTATCACAAGTTGTTGCCAAATATTGCAAAAGAATTGTTGTTGGGGGGCTTGTGATGTCCAAAAAGCGTGTAAAAAGCTCACGAACACTAACTACGGGGAGCTTTTCATGAGGTTCCCATGATTTTACAGGACCTGTGAAGGTATACATGACTAATTGAAAAATCCTTCCGAGGCATATATATACCTGTATTCGTGATAAATTTCGAAATGTAAATCGAAAAAAATACAAATCTATGTTTACCACTTGATGTATGAGTCTCTTTCATCAGTTGCAATTGCAATGGCGCATCGTAATTATCAATGTCCTTCAGCCGAGCCAACAGACTGTCAACCAATTCTTTACGATTACATGCCATTATTCCCACGTGGTCGCCTGGATCATAATTAATATCACCCTGAAATATATATCTGTTACATTGGCAAGTTCCTCATTATATCCGTTTCAATTACCCTTTATCACGGCTGATATTACCTTAGGCTCCATATCAATGAAAATGGTAGATCGTTCAGCTGACGTATCTCCTAAATCTTTGTTTGCTTTAACAACGCAAGTCACCAGTTGCCTGTTTAAAGCTGATTGTAAAGCATTCAGCAGAGGAGGTGGTTTTACGACAGGAAGAGCAAATCGCACGGTTTCTTCACTAAGCGCTACTGTTCCAAGAGCTCTTTTCGCCTCTTGTAAGGTTTCATCGTCATCCAAACAGAACGTTTCACATGCAACCTATATGCCAAAATAGAATTTATAACATATCCGAGAACTAAGACTGAGCTCCATATTATATTATGGTAATTAAGCTAATAACTTCGGGATATTTGCGTGTATTGCAATAAGATTATATACTCATTATATAGGAATCAATTTATCAAACACGACAAATATACATATGTTATATTAAAAAAAAACTAGTATTTTCTAAATATTAATTGATACACCTCCATATAATTGTTTGAATTAGTCATTAAACGGATTTATAATATATACTTATTTTGTTTTTAAAAAATATTGATTTCATGAATGATATTAATATAGAAAAAACAAGTTTCATTTGACATATATACATTTATGAAACTAAAAACAATATTGAACGGTTAATGTTTAAGAAAAAATTTTACATGATAACACTAATCAGTGGAGAACCGGTTGTCAGCCTATTAACAATGGCAACTCACGTTAAAAACACTGGAGGCCCATTTCCGGAATGCTTGGTCTTGGCCGCACATTTCGTCGCCTGTCGCAAGGTCATGGATTCGTTCTCCACCGAGGTCACCCAACAATTTGTCTACGTATTTCCCGAAGTTACAAAAATTTGGATATGCACTTGAACCGAGAGCGAAAACAGCGAATCTTACGTTGCTCAAAGGCCCAAAACTATCTATGGAGGCGGCATCAGTTGTACTACCTAAAATTTCATCCTCATTTTATTTTTATATAAATTAAAAATAAATAAATACTAGTAACATAATACTATTACACCAAATGAGATCTAATTTCACACCAATTTATACCTTTTAATGATTCAAGACGACTGAGTTGCTTGGGGTTCCCAGCGTATCTTTGGAATTCAATTTGACTGTTTGCTTTTATAATTGATTTAGGTGTCAGCAACTGTGAACTCCTATAAGCCAAAATTGATATAAATTTACCAGGTAATTGTTATATAGCAATACTATTATTGACTAATTCTTACCCAGATGTTTCCTCTCCTACTTGGTCAGCATACAAAAGTTCACAAAGATGTTCCCCAAAAGCCTATAAGAAATGATTGTTGTTACGTAAAGTTATATATACGGAATTTCTTACTTACTCGTAGGTATTTATTTAAGTAATAACTTTGTTTCCTTTTTAGTGTAATTAACTCATAACATAAGAACGATTATATATATCGGCGCTATAAGCTTTAATATCGGATGTGGCATGAAAATAATTTTAGGTTTCCATCAATTCTAATTAAAACTCATTAGTATTCATGATTATTGGTAAAAGTAAAACGAAATTAAAGATTGTTTAAAAGGAGAATAGAACTATGTTAAAATCTTGGTATAAATATGACGTCTACCATCGTATATCATGGAACGTTCTTGAAAAAGTGACATTAGTAACGTCAGTGAGGCTGGCGTCTCTCTCTTTTAAAAACAACGAATTTGCAATAAATCTGATATACATATTTTATTTTAAGCATCACGAAGAAATAAAAAGTAAATATATAATCGAACCTTAAAAATATTTGTGAACATTCCTAAATCAAATAATTATTTTGATACTTTTGACTGTTTTTATTTACTAAGAATGCTGCTTTTAGTAATAAAAATCAAATAATGTTAAATGATTGCCACATAGTTAAATAAGATTTGTAAGGAGACTCAGACATACCACTCCGTTTTCTGGTGGATCTCCGTTACCGAAAGTCGACGTAACGACCAATAAAAGCGCCTCATGTTCAATAGATGTTATGTCGTAATCCATCATACAGTGAACCTAAAATACACGATGGATTTAAATTGTGCATAAAAATCCCTCTTATCTTATCTAAATCAATTTAGGAAACGTTTTAGTATTAGATTGAAATCATCGTATTTCTAATAAGGAAATATGGGAATAATGTCTATATAGGCGTAATAGAAAAATTCCTCCCACTACCTATCAGGTTAATCGACGTTATTCCTAATTTAATTTCAAGGCAACTTGTAAATACCTGAGCATTGAACGCGTGACCGAATGTGACCCCTAATTCTTTAGCATACTGTTCAGACTTCCCAGTCTCGGTTGCATATAGTACGGTGGCTTTAATCCTCTTAGAGAGCGCTCTACCAAAGAGTTTGGAGGTAAATTTCACAGCGCGTGCAATCTGTTTGAAGTGGAACTTTCTATTTATAGGCCTCTTCCCTGTGATCGGCTTTGATTTCTGCCATTGATGGGTCTTCCATGCCGGTTCCTTGTAAAAAGGGAATGGGGATCGTATATTGCTTATTATTATTTATCAAAATATATTAAAATATTGACATGAACGTAATTAAAATATTAATATAAAGACCATAGATCTATATCAGATTTAACAACTGTCGTTGTTTCTGTTCGTTACAAAGGGAAAAAATTAACCAACGGGCAAAAATAATCAAGTAATATATTTAGTATTTGAAACTGATATATTCTAACCTGATACTCGTATGCAGGTCGAAGATAATAAAGCGCCATCTCTTGGTGAAATACTGGAGTGATGGATGAAGACATGGGTGGTACGATCCATATCCAATCCGCTGGACATCCAGACCTTTTTAAAGACAATAAGCGTTATGTACAATCTCGCCAACATATCGTTACAAAAATCTTGTAATAAAAATATTATTGTACCAGAATTCAAAGTTTTATAAATTTATTTTGGTAGATATTATTATATTTAAAACATATAAAGCTGTCACAAAATTTTTTTAGTTCTTCATTCAATGGTACTTTTTGATAGTATTTTATATACACCGAAACCAGAGGCAACTCAAACAAATATTTGTCTTTACTATTATGTAAGGTTGTAACATAAAACTAAGTTAAGGAATAAAAAAATTACAAATTATTGTCCATTTGACCGAAGCAACTATTAAGATTAACATATTTAATTAAAAAAGTTATTATATTCAGCAGGATCTTCGAAATTGACGTAAATAAAAATGTTCGTAGTAGAGTAAAAACGTAATATTGTTTATGTTTCCACTGAGAAGCTACATACGTCATATTACGACGCTCCAATTCCGTGCATTGATTGTATTGTAAACCAGATATAATAGGTCACACGATTTGTCTTACCGCACATGTGGCTACTCACAGAACACTTGCAGGGCTCTGGTGTTGATAGCTTTATGCTTACAAGATTACACGGCAATATTATGTAAATATTATGATTATTATATGTACTCATATGCACACATAATACACTGATTTCAATGTTGATTAATATTCTATCAAGATTGTAATGAAGACACGTTTTGTATACTTTGTAAATTTATATGCAAATAATAATCTTATCTTTACCTTAGTCTGTTTTCATTATCCAAATGTTTTATAAAGCTCTCTGAAGCAGTATGATGATCTACGATTGTCGCATTATGTTGTTGAAAGCTATGTAATACAGCCACATTTACTTCTACAAGAGCCTTGTCCTTCCATAGATTAACTGGTGTTCTTGTATCCAAACCCATTTTCTCTGCTACTTTCTGTTTTAAATAAATTAATTAAGTACCTATACAATTTTTGTCAATGACCTAATTTAAAAACAAAGAGTATGCAAACCTCCAGCATATTTAGGCGGTTGTTGTCGCAGAAGTTTCTACATCCAATTTCGGTGCTCATGTACCAACCATTGAAGGCGTTGGCAGTAAATTCAATACCTCCGCAGTCAAAACGCATGCTGGAGACTGCTGGAAGTGCATACCAACGTAGTTGAAGCTCCTCGAACCATTCGTAACTGTAAAAGAACCCTTTTTATAATCTACGAATAATATATAAAATTCCTAGCGACCCTAGGATTGTTTATAAAAAAATATCTAGAAAAAATATATTCTGTATCTTCAACTTGACAGTGGTTTTTTAATGCAGCGTCAACGATGTGTTTTTTTTGTCCTGTCTGTCTGCAACTTAAAAAAATAATTGCATAAATAATAAAAACAAAACACAAGTCTTTTGTTTTCACCAACCCCTTTCATTGAACAAAATACGCCAATTAGTGCTTTAATTAAAATGCAACTTTACAGTACTGACTGAACAAAAATGTCTTCAAGAATTATACGGAAAACCTAAATCACGTCTCTCCTATGAAAAACCTGTATGAAAAAGAGAAAAAACGGAAATCTTGCATACAAATAAAGTTTTGCCATAACTTCATAATAGTGTTTTGTTATTATGTTGTTCTTTTATGTTTCATTAACCATTTTTTCTTTATTCAATCAATTAATATTCCGATATAAAATTAATCTTTAGTAAAATCGATTTTCAGTGAAGTGAAACAGTTTTTCATTTTATTAACCACTCAGTACTTATCACATTACAACCAGTTAACATTATCAATACCGAAACATTATTGAATGTGCTCGGATTTATGACCAATAAACGCAGATTGGAGATCACTGGAACACTTTTACGATAAGCAATCTGCTCTGTATGGACGTCGGTCGCCTATTTGCGGGCCTTTACAAAGCACAATATGCATTCTCAGACTTTTATGTTCACATAAATGTAAGATGAAAAACGCGACGTGTCGCTTGAGTAGCCGTGTTTGAAATTTTTGTATATGCTTTTAAAAATTTGCGATATCTGGGTAGAAAATTTCTTTCACAGATTATTACTTTGATCTTTTAAAGAAGTTTACTATAGTATCTATTGATGTTACTATTAAATTTTGTAAATGACTTACGTTGGATGGGTCATGTGGATTTCCATCACAAGATCCCGTGGTATTTCAAAGTAGTCTGGATCCTTTCCATTCGCCGACAGCACCAATGGCAATATGTCCCACGCGGTGCGTTGAGGCTTCCATCCCAATTTGAGGCAAAGCTGAATTGAATAATTTATATTATATGTGAAAATAAATCACCCAAATCAAATACTTCTTTATACTCGATGTGCAATATAATATAGTGACAGAGGTTCAGTACTATTATTCAAATATTTTTTAAGTGTTCATAAATTAGTCGATTATTTCCTTAGATGTAATACAACAATACATATAAGAACAATTAAGAATTTTTAGTGGTGTTATTTTTTGTAAGAATTCAATATACAATGTAAAATTCTTCATTAGTATATTTTTTTATCAATACTTCCTATCCCATACAAAAGCCCAAAACTTTATTAAGTTCATAAATTCATCATCAGAAGCAGGTGTATTAAAGTTCGTGGGACTATAATAAAGGATTAATTTACTGCCCAATAAGCTGTTATTTAACAAGAGAAAACTTTGTACAATCAGCTGCTAACTCTAAACTTGCAATGGTAACTTTTACTTCGAAAAGATCTTTAATAGATACATATAATTCTAATTATTGCAAGCAATATATTCATTGAATATTAAAACGATTTTTGTTTGTAATTATTGTTATTATATTCTCGATAAATAAAAACAAAACAAGAAGGATTTAAGAAGTGTAACTAATCAGAAATACAGACATAAAATATACGTATTTTTTCGTCTTTCAAATAAACCTTGAAAACAAATCAAATATCGAACAGGTGTTTTATGGACGATTCTACCCTTGCTGGATTTGTCGCGAATCCTATAAACCTTCGATGAGATTTTTATTTTATATTTTATTTTCTTATATATTCTTCAAAACACTTGTAATATTATAAAAGTAGATATTGAAAATCAAAAGGTTATGGTATATGGATATAAACAAAGTTTATTTACTTCAGTGAACTCGCAGTGCATGGGGTCACCCAGTACAGTACCATCGGGCATCTTGTACCCAGCATAGCTTATGAGCTGACTGTTCCATATTCTGTAATCGTGTTTACCGTCTGTGCGCTGTGGGAACACCGTTATCGCTGACCTGGGGACAAATATTATATTATTAATTCTTTTTATTACAAAATTTTGGATACAGAAATATGAATAAAGTTGACCAAATTTTATTTAAAAGTAAATTACATCTGCTTATATAAGTTCGAATAGAATGAAATTATGTAGATAAATAAATAATAATGCAACATTAGAAACATAATCAGGATTTAAAACATTTCAAATAAATTAACTGATGTAGGCTTCAAAAATGTAGTGTACTTTTAATATAATTTGTATTTCACCTATTCTATAGGTTCAAAATTAATCAGCATCTACAGAACTTATACATGAACTTACTTTAAAATATATACATCATATTCAAGATACTTCGTCTATGTTGAAATCACTTAAAAAACAAATTTAAAAGGACTCACCGAATATTTCCCTTGTTGGTACTGTACTTGATATGGTTGCAGAGCGCTTCGAACATACCACTTGTAGTTGTTACTTGACGACAGTCAAAAACCTGCATAAAAAAAAATTTTTGACTACCTACATCTAATGTCATAGTCATAAAAACAATCAAATAATCCTCTCCTTCTAATTTCAATCAACGGATCAATAGTCATTTAAATTAAAACCGTAATTTTTTCATGTTCTCATTATAAAATTAAAATATAATTTTATTATTTCACCGAAATTATAAGTACTGAAAATAAACCACTCTTGAAATAACTTTCGTCGAGTTAACGTTGAAAATAGACAATTATTCTGAGTGAAGGACCGTTGAATGCATAATGTAAAAAGGCGATGTCTCTGAAACATTGGAATATTTTATTATTAACTTGAATTTTCTCATATTTTGGTCAGCGGTATTGTAAAAACTACTTAAATTAACATATAATTTTATTATATCACTTCTTCGATAAAATTTTATACTCACCAATAATAAAAAAATATATATACATATATGTATGTTATATAGGTTTCAATAATAAATAGAAATGTTAAATTCCAATTCAATCATGTACTCGTATATAAAACGCGTTCTAAAGAACGAATGAAAGTAATTTATTCACTTTAGATGATTCAGTCACCGACAAACCGAGGCTCCATACAGATTAACCAGCAATCTATTTAAGCAATGTAATTACGAAATGTACTCGCGAACATCAGGGTAACTTAAAATTGGTCTCACTAATTCCAACCTAAGTCCTTATTCCGGTAGAGGGAACGAATGGCTGAGGAAAAACGAATAAATTACTCGTAATGTCATTACACTGTGACTCAATCAGGCGTTTTAATTAGAAAAATATCGAGAAAATTACAAAACGACTAAATTTATTATTTTCATAAAAATGATTGAGTATCGGTTCTGTCTTACCATATTTTGAAAATCAATTTAAAGAAAATAAGTTGTTATATTGTTGTTTTATAATCGAACGAAATTTATTTAGAAAAATTGTCTAACTTTATCACAATATACTAAATACAAAGTTACTCATATATACAAATGGATTTTGATTAGTCTTTTTTAGTATTTAAATTTCTGTCTAACATAAAAACTATTTAATTATACCTGATAGACAGGTTTAATTTTAGGAAAACTGAAACTTTAATTTCAGTACGGAAACTTTATGTGTGCATTTAAGGACTATATAAATTTTTTGAACGAACACATACTTTGTTCCCAGCTTAAATGTTGATTGTGGTCGTTATGAAAATTTCTGTTATATTACCGTAATAAAGATAATATTCCTAATTTAAGTTTTCAGAAAGCTATTTAAAAAATATGAGGATATTTTATTCACATCGTTAAGTTGTCTGAATATGTCCCTTCATTGGTTGATGGGAAATTAATGAAAAACTTACCATATATTCTGAATTATATATTTATAAGAAAAAAAATAGACGAACTTATGTAATCTTTAATAGAAAAAAAATCAATTGAATAAGAAGACTATGGGCTCTTGAAAACTGTTGCTGCTTTAGAGTTTGTAATAGCTAAAAACCAAAGCCAATAAAAATATACGACAGGTTATTCAGAAATATTAAAACCAACATAGCAAAATAGTCGATACACTAATGGGAAGGAAAAGTAAAAAAATAAGTAACTTTATAAATACGACAAATAATTCAAAATTTCTTAAAGAAGTAGTAATGTTAGTTTTGCGTACAACAATTTTACAAGACTCATACACATCTCAGCAACTCTAATTTGAAACGCTTCAAGATTCCACCAGCAATTTATTATCAATCACTGATATTATAATTTTGAACTCTATTATCTTTGACATAGGTAAGATAATTAGAATCTTGGCTAGAGTAATATTTAACGTCACTACGTGACAACCTCACGTGTAAATAGTTAGTGACGCAAAATGACAGATTACCTGTAAATAATGTTTTGGTGTCCATTGTTTTTACTTATTTAATTATTACTAATTATTAATTGATTAAATAGTTTTTATCAATTAGTAGTATTTATGTACGATAACAAATATATTTCCCATTCAAATTAATTTTAGTAATCATGTTTAAAAGATGTGTGTAATCAAGTTTTTTAAGCCTTATGTAAGCCTTATTCATAATTGTAAATAAACAATATACAACAATGTACTTAACGGCACGTGGTGGTTTACTGATAAGAGAATATCTAGAATAATAATAAATGAACCAAGCCATTGAAAACGTAGTAAGTCTATTTATAGTGTAATTCCATATTTATATTATATAATTTTTCATTCATTATTATTCATTTATAATTGTTCACACACATTTAAAGTATTAATTGGTTTTACTTATTGGGTAGAATGTACAGGCTTAAAATAATCCACAGGTTCTCAATACCATCACCTAAACTATTCCGATCGAACATCGCGTAAATTAACTATCAGCCCCAATGATGGAGCAAGAATGCGCAAAATATTTTTTCATTAAAGCAACCGGATAGTTGAAAACAAACTAGTTAATTGCCTATGTTTTTCTGATGGCAGAAAATGGAGAGTTTCCTCATTGGCAAATTCATTTACTTTTATGCCGGGAACCTTGTTAAGTTAATCGATTAGTTTTAAATATTTTACAGATAAAGATAAACGAGAACTTTTATTGATTTTCTTTAGATACCGAATTTGTTTTTGTGAACACTTGATTCCAGCATTTGGCAATAGTCACGTTTACTATAAAGCGAAATGAGCCTATGCCTTTAGTTCCCTTAAAATATTTATTTAACTACTCACATAATTACGTCTATAAAAGATTCATAATATTACATGAAATTTTACTTACTTGTAATTTGGACCACTGTATTCTACCAATGCAACGACTAGCGTTTCTCCAGGCTAGTTTTGCTCCAAATACTAATTCCGTGGTAGTCAGCTGGTACGTCCCGGTCTTGGCAACTTCTTCCTGAACCGTTTTCCAACGAGCCTCGTGTGCTACTGTATTCGCTCTAGATAAAAAAATATCAACTTAGGCAACAAAAAAAAATATCGGATATTATTTAGTATTATCGGATATTATTTGTAACGAAAGTATAAAATTTTTTCTTTCCTAAACTTTCCCGAAGTTTTAAGTAAATTGTAGTTAGTTAATTTCAATTCGTTTTAAAGAAGGAAATACAATGTTGATAAAATAAACACTTTTAAAATCACTTTCGAAAACGGAGTGAACCATTAAACAAGTATGCTAATAAGTCTTGAAGTTTCAAAACATTGATTTTAATAGAAGTGTTTGAGGTTTATACAATTTTAATTCCAAATATACAGTTATTTGAGCAATTTAATAGATGATACCTAGAACTATTTGTCTCAATAAAAAATCGATAATTCGAATAATTTTTTATATTATAGATATATATGTATATCTATTCAATTACCTTCTTATAGAAGCGAAGTATTGACCGAGAAAATCTTTAGCATCATTCAACACTTCTTCGGAATTTCTTGGTATATCGCCGCGACCAGGAATAGCCATCAAACTGCCCAGACAGGCCTTTTCGTTGCATAGTGTTGGCTGTAAACAAGACGAGATATTAAAAAATTGAAATACCTATGAACATTAATATCCAATACAAAAGAGATATTTTATTAAGACTTGGCAAAAGCGTATTGAACTGAAAACATTTTTTTAAGCTTCTTTAATTTTGATCTTCAAATAAATAATTGTTTTCTTATAAAAAAGTCAATCAAAAAGAAGAAAATGAAAATGAGAGTTCGAAATCTTTTAAATCAATTGTATATTTATGGCTGAAAATAGGAGGTACTTTAAAAATTTTCATGTATTTTCTTCTGTGTGACTACATTAAAATGATGTCCAAATATCTATTTATTACTTGAAATTACGGAATACTTACATTTAATTTATTTACTTAACAAATTCGACCATAATTTAATATTAAGATATTTGAGCATACTATTTACTTTATATTCCAGCATGTTTGAAACCGAACTATTGAGAAAACAGCACAAATCAACCTAAAATACACTGACACTGATAATTTGGACATATATTTAGAGAAAGCAATTTCTTCAATGGTTTTACGACGCTCAAGCAAAGTGTCCATAAAAGTAAGTAATGTTTTCATACAGTCCCAATGATTCGGTTCGAACACGCGTCACGTCCCCGAATACGATATTATCTTTATTACATTTTGAATGTTACTTTATTAAAACGCCATGAATTTAAGACTTGCCGATAAACAATTTATTTGATTATGACACTTAATTTTAGAGAAAATTACTTATACTTTAATTATCTTGGCACTAATATGTTATAGTAACATTGATTGTTAAGTTTATAAAATAATTTTTATTTTAATGTGCTTCTTCTGCACCGCTTCTTTGACATTTTATTGAAGTGAAACTTTTTTAGGCGCATGAAGGTAACGTCACGCAACGGAAGTGTCGAAAGAGAGAGAGAGAGCGATCGAGACCGATTGAGTTGAGTGAGAATAGGGAGCAAGCAAGTGAGAAAGATTGAGAGAAAAAGTGAGACAGAGCGAATGTCGTATAACGTTTTAGATTTGTATAAATATAAACAAGATTTATAAATTAGTTCGCGAAAGAAGTTTTACTTCTGACATGTGTACTTTGTACGCACCCATTTTTATTTTTATTTAATCTGTTTAATGAATTTAAGGGCGGAATCGTAAACTATCCAATAATTTTAAAGTTCTGTCCTGTTTTACTGTAAGTTTTATTTACTTTAAATTATCATTGAAATAAATGTATTCCATTACAATTTCTAAAAAAACATATCGACTTATATATATATATATATATATATATATATATATATACAAAAGGCTAACGAATTTGTTTTATAATCCATTACCATAGAAATACAAGCATACATGTAATAAGAATTTGCAAACACATATAGTAACATTACATTTTAATCATAACATAATCTTGAAGATCCACACAAAGGCCAAAACATAATCTAGTGATTTAGCTTCGGCAATGACTCATAGGGTTTGGCTTACCCGTGGTATCACCTTCTAACAGGACATGTGCATAACAATGCTATTACATGTGACTTTCGATCGTTGCGTAGGAGTTATCAAAGACCTACCGTATTTTCCCTTTCTACTAGTATCCTAAAAATTTTCTTCTTCATAAATCTCCTGCAACTATACTCGCCTGGTGCTACAACTAGACTTATCCCAATAGGGTTTATGTGACATTGTTACTGTTTTATTTATAGAAACTAACTCGACTACGACCGGAAATTAAATAAATATATTTTTCAAATATCCCTAAATTTAATGCATCCGTAAAACAGCTTGTTACTTTAATTTTAAAACCAGAATATTTTTAAAGATATTCTCTATAATATACGCAGTATTGAAATATATAGAAAAACAGTTTTTTTTTTTAAATGTGTCAAAAAGTAAACGAAACAGAAAAGTTAAAAAGTCAGACTCTAAAAGAATTATCGTCCAGACAAAAATATGTAGATAAAATTCCTTTAATGTCGTAACATTAATGCAATCGTCAAATTTAAAAACGGAAAACCTGACTATTTTTCGTTTTGTCATACTTAACTATCAGAACGATTGCTTTCTTTTGACCAAACATCACGTACAAATGTGAATTTTTTACTCAATAAATGTTTATAAAATTGTATCTTAAATATAAATAGTCCTGGGAATTCCCACATACAAGCACGTGTTAAACATCATTTTAGTTGATACTTAGCGAGATGAACGTTATTCTCAATTTGTGAAATACGAATAATATGATGTTTGAATAAAATGTTTATATAAACGACGAGTGCTGAGCCAATGTAAATGCCATAATTTAAATCAACAAGATAACTAACCTCCCTTTAAATGAAATAATTAAGAAATAACATAATTCTATATTTTTGGGGTCATATTTAACAATATATCAAACTATCATATTAAATAAATATATGTAGTCTGTGGTGGCCTAGTGGGTTAAAGGCCCTCCTCTCATGCATGGGGGCACGGGTTCGATCCTGACAAGTAGCAATGCGATTTTTCCGAATCATATGTACTTTCTGAGAGTACTTAGACATCACTGATTGATGCATTCTCAAAGAGGGTTGATATCAGGCAGGCGGTCGGTCGTAAAAACAATTAGCCAAAACTATTTATAACATGTAAGGCAGACCCTGGCTAAAGCTGGAAAATTGCCAGGTAGAAAAAGAGTAAACAATATATCAAACACTATCGAATTATTATTATTATTTCAGTTATTTACTGTCTTTGTCAAAAATAATTGTTAATTCTTCTATAAAGGTGCTCTTATGATAAACCACTTATAACAAATGAGGTTTAAATTTCGTTTAGTTGTATTAATTTCTTATTTAATTATAAGTTAATGCTAATTATAAAGTTGGTTTTTTATTACTTATTTACTAATAAAATGGTATACATATTCTTATATATAAATTATATTAATAAGATCAATAGAATCAAACGCAGTAAGGTAGATTACATTGATTTATAGAGCACTTTGTAAAAGCTTTTGATTCTATGTTAATTGGAGCATAAAATTATGATTGTATCTCGTTCTTTGTTATAGAATATAAACATAATAATTTGTTTTTATAATTGAAGTATAAACGATTCACAATAGTCTATTATCTCAAGCTCAATCTTCAATTATATGTACTATGTATTTTACATCTTAAATCTATTTCATTACTAACTTACAGAATATGCCGAATTGTTTGTTTTCTTAGACTCCTTTACGCCTCCGCTCCCAAGGCAATCGTCATAAAATTTTGCATACGTTTTTTTACCAAGGATATAAAAATAATGTTGTATACCATCACGAAAAAAAAGTCTATCCCGGAATGTAAAAAATGTCTTTTTCCACAGAGATGTCTTTGTCAGAACAAAAACAGATGCTACAAAGTTATTCTCACGTAGGTTTAAACTTATTGTAAAGATAAGAACATGAGTTGTATGGTCTTGGTCAAAGTTGTTTACTGGCAAAATTAATTTTACTGTTTTCTGACATCAGTATGTTTCTTGTGTATGTATTACAAATTTCTTTTAACTAATGATGATTACATTTTTATTTCAAACAGTAGATATTAAACGTAAAAGTTAATATATTCGATTTCTATTCCGTTATTGGATTTATATAAATTAAGTGTATAGGAAAATCTGTTACATAATTTACGTACAAAACAATCTGACCATTTCCAGTCGTTTTATCGTTAAAGAGACTTACCACACTCGGACACGTTGTGTCGTACAATCTGTCATACAAATACTCCCTTGATTCATGGTTCTTTAACACTTTAGGTCTTGTAACTTTACGTGGTTTCTTCCTATCAAGCTTTTGTATCTGAATCTTCAAGTCTTTGGCATTTCCATTCTGATCATTAATTTCGGGCAAAACAATATGGTCGATTGGACAAGTTTTACTCTCATTCGTCACTCCGGAAATAATTTTCTCATCATGTGCTATAGTAGCCAATGTACTGTTTAAAACCGTATCAGAGTTTTGAATAACTCCGGGAGCCATTATTTTCTAAATTCACAAACAATTAAAGATGTAATTATAAGGTAGAGGTTTTAAAGTAATGAGGCGCAGGCCAATACGCGGCGCACTAATCACAAGTAGGTGTCACCGGTGTATTTATAACAGTTTTATCGTCTGTGGCAAAACGTACTAGTTTGTTTTTAATATTTGCAAACAAAGATTCATATCTTAATTTGTTTTGTTGTGGCCGAAGAAAGGATATTCAAGTGTTGGCTACGAGAATGTATGTTAATTGGTTTATAATTATTATTTAAAAATTTTATTGAACAGGTTTATCTATATCCTATACGCTCCTACAAGCCGTGGCATTTAATGGGCGGTTTCAATCAAATTCATCAAACCCTCCCGCAGGAACTTGGACTTTATTTGATTATATCTAAAACTATTGAGATTGACCCCTAGAGGAATTTTCGTTGCTATCAAAATTAAGTTTATGTTTGTTTCTAATCACTTACAGACAGACAGTGTTATTTTTATATATGTATATTTCTTTAATATATTATATTATATGTTATTAATATGTAATCACAATTTTTATTAAAAACATTTTAATTCCTCATAACACATTAATAATAATTATTACATAAGATTAAGATATAAATTTGTTAAAATATGAGAAAAATAACATAAAAAAACAATGAATTAAATATGGTTAGAAACTGTTATAAAATTGGACGCACACCATACGAACTATATTGACTTAGTCACATACTACATGAACTCTTTAAATAAAATGATTTTGTTTTTGTTAAAGTTTCTCAGTTTGAAAATTTACACCTAAATAAAATCCAAAAAGAAAAACCATTTCAAAAATAATAATAATAGCAAAAAGAATTCTCTTTTTGGTCAATTGTTTTATATCGTATCTTTTCTTTTGTAGTTTTTTAATTTTTTTTATGTTTCAAAATTAAACTATTTTGAAAAGAGTATAAGAAAGGCTATATCAGATTTATGATGTCTTAATCTAATATTTAAGATAATGTTTTCAATAGAAGAATGTCCTGTATTTTAAGCAAATAATAAAACTTAAATACTAATAATACATTTATTAATATTTAATTTATTAATTATATACAAATATTATAAGTAGTTCATGCTTTGAAATTTAAAAAAATAATAAACAAGATATACTACTTTGTTATCAAATTTCAAATAAATTTTTAAGTAATATTTTACTTCCAAATATTTCAATAACTTTTTTATTCAGTCTCATCTGTAAGATTTTTTTATAAAATAATCCCTTTGATTTATAAAAATGAGAATACATTTTATTCAAACACACGTGTGTTCATTGGGGATTTACATATTTGGCTATCACAAAGCAAATATAAAATAATATTTGATTAAATAAGTATGACTGTTTCCTCAGATCACACTGCTATTGATAACGGGGTATCAAGTCATGTGCTGTTTAATAATATTTGAACAAAGTCATACATTCAATCGAATCACGTTGTTTGCTTATTTAGTTTAAAAAAAGGAACAATCAATAAAGTATTTCTTTAGTACCTTATATTCACAAAGGAACACTTAAACACACACATACACAAACACACACACACACACACATACAAATCTATTTAATAGGTACAAATAAATATACAAATTTATAAAATACGATAATATAATACAAAAGTTTTTGGTTCAATGATTTGAAATTAAAATAACACCCTAACAAATTATGAATGTTAAATTATAGCTCGAGTTTTATTGAATCAATTTCAAATTGAAGTGGTTACATTGTCTTTTGTCGTCCAATATAAACATAACAATTACTTATTAAACATCTCATTGTTTCAAAACTTTAATACATCTTAGTCTAGACTTTATTTATTCTTTGTACCTTATGGTTATGTATGATTATTTTTTTTGTATTAACGGTATAGTTTTTGAAATAGATGTATCGTTTAATATTCTATTAAAACTAAATATTTTTTAGTTGTAATGGACTTGAAATTACAAAACATCAGTCACTTGTTGTTGTCTAAGGCATCATGTATCATAAAATATTATACAGGGTGACTGGTGAATTACTATCAATATTTGAGGACGTGATATTTGACGATCATATATGACAAAATAAAAATGAATATAACATAAATATTAATAAACTTCTAAGTAAAGTTAACCAAAAGTTATCTAATTAATTACGCATCGTGTGAACACCCTACAGATTAGGTATACACTGACACTCACACATACGCATGTCGTGACGTGGTGTTGTATCAACACGTCGCCGCACGCGTCCACACTTGAACACTTGGAACGTGTCAACACTTTACTTATTTATACGGAAATTTTGTCAAAAATTAAGTGCCTATTTTTTTTTACATAATTCGAATGAGAATCATGTACCGAGTATGCTCCTTAAATATTGATAGTAATTCACCAGTCACCCTGTATACGTTCTACAAACTTTCATATAATTATATTTAATGGCTGAATTTATGGCGTACAAATAAATTAATTTTGGTACCAAAATCTTGTTTCGATTTTTATATTTTTTCTGATTATTTAGAAAGTTTTTTTACATACCTTAAGGGCGAAAAAGAGAGAAAGGTTACGGGATTGTTAAAAGTCAGCATCGTCCTTTATGTTGCAAATGCTTTTAAAATTCTCTTTATACAGGAATTATATGTATACCATCTTGACTTATAAACCATCTCATTTTGTAGTCTTCAATAGTTCCTTACCACGTATTTTAGTGTCCAAAAATTACAAAGGGGCACTAGGTACAGAATGCGATGGAGAATCCGTGACGGGGATATTTTGTTAAACAATTCCTTATATTAATGTTGATTAAAACACCCAAGAGGTTTCTATGTTCTGTCGTAGACTTACGAGCTGTAGATCATCTATCAGAAAGATTCAATACGTCGACAATACTAACTGCCGGATGAATTTAAATAATATCACAATACGATGTTATATTGTTCATGTAGCAACAGGAATTGTTCTTGAAAGAAATACTGGCTTGCTCTATTAAATAACTAGTTAATTTTAGGTTAATTTGGTTCTATCTACTACATGGTTACTTCGTCATATGGGAGGTGTTCATAGTGATGTGAGTGATGCAGCCATTTATCTTCTGCCATTCAATTAATTATCGGACACATTTTGTTAGGCACTCTCGGCTTTCAAACAAAACCTTTAATTTATATCTCTCCAGTAAGAATAGAAACAATCTAAATAGTCCTTATAAAATGTCATTTACGAGGAAAATAAAGGTCACAGTTTTATAAGACAAAACTAATAATACAACAAAACACCGGTTCCTGTAATCAAATCTTATCTCTTTTTCTCCCGACCTTACAAAAGTCTGGAAGAAATTATTGTATGATATAAAATATTTCAGAATTTATATTAAATAAAGAATAACCATATTTTTAATGATGTACTTGGCTTGGCAAGTTATATGTTCTTTTACTGGCTTTAGATTAAGTCATTAGATTTTTGAAGTCTCAGAATAAAATAACACCATTCCTACCAAAAATTGTATAATCCTAATTATTATTTAATAGAACCCTAACAGGTGATTCATATCTATTATAAATATATTTATATGTATTAATTATATATATTTATAATTAATAAATATAAATATTTTAAAAAATCTCGATGGACGTAAAAATATCATAAGAACAGGTGTTCTATAAAGAAGAGAAAAACGAATTAATTTTATCAAATATAAAATATAAAAGTGATATAAAAGTTATGTTTTACTATTAAATCATCAATGTGGACTGTTATTTATGAGACAAGTGACTACTTGTGATCCTGGTAACTAAGTACAAACAAAAATTACATTCGTGTGGAGACATGTCCTATGTTACGACGTACTGATATTTGTTTAAGCGGACAGTTAAATGTAATAAAAAAAATATTACGATTTGGGCTGTAAAATAATAATTTATAATAATACAAAAAGCGTATTCAAAGTTGGACAAACGGCTTTACTTTATGTACTTATTTAACAAAATGAGTATGAATTCTGTATGCAGCTTTGTCTCTAGAACTTTTTAACGGTAACATTTTTTATTTCATATTTTGTGTCGTTTATGAAAAGTTTTTCTATAATTTTAAATGTTTTATTCCGAATACTTGTTTGTTTTATATTATGCAAAAATAAATGTAATACATATATTTATTTTTACCAACCATGCATATGAAAAGACGAATGAATATTGATTTTTTTATCAATAAATTTTTATCGGGAACAAACATAAAAAAAAAGTAAATCCTTTTCTGTCTGTGTTCTACTATCAGATTTCTTAGCACATTTCAGCCATAAGGTATGTTAAATACGCAAAAAACATTCCCATTACTATCCAGTTACAAGTCATGTCTACTTTAGACAAACTATAAAGAGAAATATGCATAGAGAAACAACATTAAGAATAAAGATTAATTGATTATCAATTAAAATATATATACTTATATTCATTTATTTATTAAATAAACTTAAATGGGGCATTTTTATAATCTATTTATTATTTATATTACTGAAATATGAAAAGTAATTGCCGGGTTGAGATTAAGTCATGCCGAAAATGCTAAAAATATCCGAGCATAATTTGAACGTTGTAATTACACAGACTACGTCACAGGCTTAGTAATTAGTGCTAGCCTGAGATAAATATTAATTATGGCGATTTTATAAAAAAGTTTATGTTTTATGCACTTATAATTTCAAGAATATATTGCCCAATTTATATATCAACGTCTTTTGTTTGTGACTTCGTATGTAGATAAATAAAAAAATCTTTAATATGAGATTCCGTTCATAATTTTACTACGTTGTAAAAATATTAGTCTTTTCCACTACCGAGATATTTTTTAAATCTTTTTCTATTATTACAACAGTTACTTCATTATTATTAATGTAACATTTTTTCCAAATAAATTATAATTTTTTTAACATTCAAAACCTATATTTGTCCATCTCATAAATATTTTTTTATAATACTGTAACACATCATTTC